ATATTTGGACGAATGGTGCTGTGCATGCATGTACTCAGAGTACAGGCTTAGAACCAAGTGGTAGTCCGTTGATAACAAAATGTATGTTGCGAGGGTAAATTAATAGTGGTACAATATTGTATCACTTAAAATGCTTCATCATCTTGCACCTACTTTGGTGTCTGATCTGTACGGCTCCCATACCACCAGTGGTAACACACAGCAAGAAGCGCTTGGGTTCGACTTGGGTGCCTTTCTTTGTTGTGTTTGTATGCTATCCCGCTATTCTGTATGGGTTTCTTTCAGGTTCTCAGGTTTACTCCCATACAACGTAACTGTTATTGGCCAAAACATCCCAATGCTGAAAATGTACCTGCAAATGACTCATTTAGGATGACATACTGAGCGACATCGTCCCCTACTGTGAAACTTGGCAAGACCCTCCTGAGGCTCAGTGAGGCTTTCCTGGGTTAACAAGCGAAAATAGAATATCAAAGTACCATCAGTCTTTGTACGATGGGAGGTCACCCCTTACTGTATGCTGTTCGTAGGGGTCTGGAACATTCTCGTTTCAACTGTAATGTAACCATAATAAATGTTAGTAATTTAATTGTTCCATGAGTGCATGCTGTAATCGGTGGAGCTGGGAACTGCACTTTGTAAAGGTCAGGCAGGATTCTGCGGTGCAGAATGTGTTTTGTGTTTTCTGACATGACGGTTATCGTTGGCCAAAGTGTACTTAGTCCATTTGGACAACATTGATACAACATTACAGCCATAGCAATGACGAATCTCCGGGGTTCACCCTGCTTTCACAGGCTGATGCAGGTTACATGGGAGATGTTTTCCTGGACTCAACCGCATGGTTTTTCCGATATGTGGAGTCCATTTCAGGGGCCATCTGCAACCCTACAGCGGATCACCTGAGCAGGTGCTGACTAGTTCCAGGGCAGTGATCAAATATGTAAACTATCATAAATCCAACATCATAACAACTGCATTCTGAGGCATTTAGACTGTGGTGTGCCCACTGGGACACACCGTCTGTGGATCTGTTTCTTTGCATGTACAACCATTTCCTCCCAATGCGGCTACTTCTTGCGATTGATGTCTTGAGCATATCCTGAAGTGGGTATGACTACACATAACGCAAAGAAAGGGGAATCGATGCTGATTCCCACCCTCTTTGTAGTTGCAGGTGGAGGTGGTTGACTGGTGGAGGTGGAGACCTGGTTCTCTGCACGGTCTGGTGACATCTGGAGGTTATATATAATAAGAATACATATGTAGTAGTGTGGATTTAGGAGACGTCGGAGACGGTTCTTGGAGGCAACACTTTATTAAAACACCTCACTCGGCAGTACAGTCCCAGAACACTCAGGGTAGGGGGACAGTAACAGGGTTACTATCCTCCTACAGCCACTGTCTGGGGAGGTACTGCCTCTGGGCTAACGTGCCCTAACACAGGGCTACACTCAGGGTCCTCCTACACCACTGTCTAGGGAGGTACTGCCTCTGGGCTAACGTGCCCTAACACAGGACTACACTCAGGGTCCTCCGGCTATGGGTGCCTAGGGGGAGGCTATTCTAACTCGCCCTAGCCAGGGTGCGAGTTCCGACCACTGGCCCAGTGGACCCGGCCCTTACAAGGACGTCGCGGCCAGGGGTTCCCAGGGTCTCACCACAGAGTCCCGGCCCTGATAAGGACAGCGGGGCTAGGGGTCTCAGGGTCCTATCCTGCTGGTCTTCGGCTTCGGTCTTCAACTGGTCCAGATTGGCTGGGGAGGTCCCCTTTTATGCCCCTTGCCCATTGAGGGGTGGGGCTGTGTGGGATCCCAGAACCCCCACAGCCCCCCCCACCCCCCCGTTGGGGGGCCGAGGGGCTTAGCTGTCTGGGGATCCTGAGCCCCCAGCAGCCCCTCCTCTCTTGGGCTGGCACTGCAGCCCCTCCCCTGACGGTACGAGGTACCGTTCCATCTATGGCGCTACACATACAATGGGTTCTGTGAGAGTACTAAATTCTAGATACAGTATATATTTTTTTATCCCGGCCTGCATTTAATATTTGCCATAAGATAAATACTCTTATATTTGTACGATTTCTTTGTGCGGCATCTTGAGATGCATTTGTGATGGGTAGGACATATTTTAAACGGATTAGTAAAGATGTGCTCATGAATGGATATATGAAGGAGAAAACGAACTTAACCGGATATCAAGAGGTCACATGGCACCAGCCCGTCATCGTCAAGAGGCTTGTTGAATAAAAAAATGCGCTTGATTGTGACGTTGCGAGGTGCTGCCGTGGTGCGCTTCAGTGATTGGACCTGCACGGTAACAGCAGTGATTTGCCCATGGTTATGCATGTAAACATTGGCCAGGAGGCACTGTTGGTACACGCTTGCAATCAAATACAGCTATATTACTCGCAAGACGGCCACCACCTGCTCTCATTCACACTGCTGCATAAACAGTGGTGATGTCAAGAGCGTGTGTGTCGCTGGTCAATGTGTCAATGAAACATGGACCCCTCGAAATTGAACATCTGCGCCGATTAAACACATTCAGGCTGGCCTGCCTACAATCCATCCTGGGTATAACCAGGCTGAATTGTGTGAGGAGTTCATGAATCCTTAAAAGATCTGGACACATTCCCATCAGTGAGCTCCTCCGGAAGGCAAGGCTGGCTGCGTTGGTGGTGGCATGCCCAGCCACCGCATGCCCAAACAGTTAATGTTTGCCTGGATAAAGGGGGCTAAACGGCCACGACACGGGTTGCAGAAGAGATGGACTGATGTGGTACAGGATGATATGGAGCTGAGTGAACTTTCTGAAGACTTGTACCAGCTGTGTCAAGATCAGCCTCTATGAAGGGGGCTCGTGAAGGACGCTACTTGGCAGTTGGAGGCAGTTGCCCTCCAACAACAGGAGCGACGCTCACAAGAACGCGCGGAGCACCGGGTGGATAAAATACAGCAAATTGGCACATAAGGGGGCACAGCTAATGCATTTGCCAGTCATAACAGTCAGTTTACCCCTGGTACCTGGGTCTGTCCGATGACCTGTCAGCGAGCATTCGACACTTCACGTGACCCCAAAGTGCACCTGGCCTGGCACAGGCGCCGTGGTGACGTCACCGCCACTTAGCGGTGAATGGCGGCTGTTGTTGTGCCTCCCCAAGTGAACGTAAGTCAGGGTCCTGACGCACGGGGCACATCGATTGTGGACACATTGATCAAGGTCTGTCTCTTTCAACCAGTGTATTCAATTGCAGTTTTTTGTTAATGACTTTTACAGCAGTAGCCTATCGTTCTTGAGGAAATGTCAGCATTTAAATCATGCTATCATGCAGCATGGAAAAGAAGGACACTAGTTTATCATTTGAGAACCAATATTGTTGAACAGCGTGCAGCTTTTTGCTCAGGCTGAGTGTCAAACGTTTGTGTCACCTCTTGTGTACATGTTAATGTTGGAATGCACACTCAAACACGTCAACACAAACGGTGACACCCGATCATCAGTGATTGCCGGTGGTAGGAGGCATTGCTAAATTCCCAGGGCTCTTCCACATTCATCTACTTATGGAAAACTCTTTAGAGGTGGCATGACGGCGCAGGGTTTAGAGCACTAAAACTGACAATACTGACATCCTGGTTATGTATCCGGGCAGCCGCCCCTAGTTAAGTGTAGCGTGACAAGTTGACATTCTCAGTCCAGTCACCGATGAATGCGCCAAAAAAAACATGTCTCATATGAGGTTTTTTTTTTCTCCACTTACAGCAGTTGCCGGATTACAGCTCTGAGATGTTAAATATACGTTTAATTGACATTCAAAGAACAAGCCTTGCAGGGAATTAAAAGTGGTGCCCCTTGTGCGGCTAACGAGGCCTCTTGAGTCGTTGTTCTGTGGCATCTTCTTCTGTGACCGCTCTCTGCTACCTGCGACATTGCAAATGCAAATTACACGATGCCGTTAGCACCATTTGGAGCAACAAAAAAACTCCTACAGTATGAAAACTCATAAATAATGTTGTATACTTAATATAAATGCTGTATACTTAAAACGTAGATTGTGGTAGCCAAGACTATGATTCATATTTATTTTTGGGTTAAGCAATGGATTAGTTATATATATACTGTATACCGTCTACCACCAAACAAGATTGTCTTGTTGGCTACTCACGGTGCAAAGGTTTAAGAAATTCCGAACAATAAAGCTCGCTGGTGGCTTAAGAAAGTTCACGACTGAATTGAACACCAATTTACGACATTTCACTTCAACTGCTTTGAGCTTCTTCAGTTAGTGCACCCATAAATATAGTAGGAGGCACTTTTAGTTTCCATGGTCTAACTTATGATGTAATTTAGACTAATCTAGAGAATGAGACAAAATAAACCAACTGAGCCAACGAGAGGAACAATAAAAACAATTAAATAAGAATTTATATTCTTGGTTCTTTTGGTAAAGTCCCTTCTACGTGGCTTTACCGAAAGAACCAAGAATATGAATCCCTGCAGTCACGAAAGCTTTAAAACAAAATAAGAATTTGTTAAAATTGTGACCAAAATTGTTACACTTCATGGAATAACATGATAAATCACTATACTTTTACATGCTTATTTTACTTTGCTGTGTGATTAGCACATATATATGGTGCAATCTAGATAGTGGTCCTATCTTTGTCTTGTTATAATATATTCAAGGTCTTGGCACACGTGGAGCTTCAGTCTCAAGTGGAAGGAACCAATTGCTGCTGGCAAATATCAAAGAGGCAATGATGACACAACCCCCTCCCCACTGCTCCTGCTATTTTTTTTATTTTACAGGGGACACCAATTATTATCAGTGCCCTCATTACCCCCCAGGCTGAACAGGGAGTTATTTGGGGAAAAGACTGATTTGCAGCCAAATGATCAAGTATCCTGCATAAATCAAGTCACAGTGTGCAGCCACGCTCATGTGCATACAGAACGCTTGGAGGTGCTGTTGTGTGCGCGTCCAAGCGCCACGTGGATTTGGGAACATTTTCACGAAAGCAAGTTGCACGATCGACGCACAATGTACCAACGTTTGCAGTCTGTACCCATTGGCCCACGGATGGGTATGAGCCATGCTTACTTTGCCTCCCCCCCCAGATACACAAGCACATGCAGTAGCTGGAGGAGAGGGTGAGGATGGAACGAGTTGTCCGTGACGCCCCCCACTGCTGAGCTGCTCCAAAAATATCCTCAATTTCACCATTTCGGTAAGAGGCTGCTTCCAGCCCACTTAGTATGTCGCATTGCAAGAGGTAACGTTGACATTCAAATGGGAGTTTTTGAACCATTACATGTGCTTCCAATATTAATGCAGCTATTATAAAAACAAATGCTGGAATTATAACTAATGCTGACATTCATCATCATTAGCCCTTGTCTATCCACTGCTGGATGAAAGCCTCCCTCATGCTGTCACCATCCGTCATAGTCCAGTGCTGCTGCCATCCATCTCACTCCTGCACATATCTCATTACTCCATCTCCACAGTCCTCTTAGCTCCATTCTCTCCTTTGGCTGGAATTCCATCGCGAGTCTCTCACAAGCTTGGACAAATACTTTGATGATGCTGCATTAGCAATGGTGCACAAGCACAATTAGAAAAACAACTCTACACGTTCGTCAAAAACTGCCTTAAAAGAACAAAAATATACATAAATAATCTGCGACATTTGAGGAATTGGCCCTTCGTCGTTGCAAACACACAATTTACTAAAGTCTCTCCCATCTGCCATCTTTCTGTCGAGCAATGTCTCTTGCTTGAGGTCATTTACTCTTCTTAATTGTCAATATGTTAATATGTTGTCCATGATTTGTGTTTTCTCCCTGATCCATGCGTTATTTTTTCTGTCTCTCAGTATCATTCCAAGCATACATGTCTTCATGCTGGCATTTATTGCCATCATTATTATGTTATTTGCACCATCAATTTTACGCAATGGGAATTTTGAAGTGGTAACTCAATGGAAGCTGAGATAACAGATAACATATGAACACATCTTCACTGCCAGCTATTCTCTGATATACCAGGGTTGAACATCAGTGAAATAAGCCCATGCTTATTATTGCAGTCACCTCAAGAAAGCTCAGCTCCCGAAGGCTAGCACCCACGCTCAAATCTCTTAAGGGCATCCGCAGGTGATTAATCTTATTGAATAACATCCTTCTCTCATAACCCTTGCATGCTGTGACTGTGTAGGATGAAGTACACTCGCAGGACACACCAATTCCTTAAAGAGAAAAGTCACCAAACGAACCTTAAAAAGTCACTAGATGTACTTAAGTAGAACTTATAAAGTAATTTTGAACAATGTTCCTAGACCATTTATTCCATATTACACGTAGTAAACTAATGCGTAAACCCTAATACACACCAGGAATCAATCGCCCTCAAATCTGCAATAAATGTGATCATCCCAGAAGGTGTTTAATTTTGTCGCAAGTCACTTTGACGAAAATTCATTGCTAGCCATCGCAAAAACCTGGCTAAAGTTGGCAGCACCACTCTCAGGAAGGCATCCAGTTGCCTCGACTCGTTATAGTATTCTTGTGCCGTGTGCCCACTGTCTTCCAGCCGTGTCATCTCGTTGCATTTTCAGTGTAAGTGGTTGAGTTCCCCTCCGGCACGCTTGCAGACCCAGATCATTAAGGAATGGCTGTGTCCCGCACGCTTCAGGTCACCCGATGTTCAGCCTCATTAAGTAGCTGTGGGGCTTGTCAGTTTTCTATTCCCCGCGCGAAGGCACCTGCGGATATCTCTAGTGAAGTGTTTTAAGCAGAGAGTGGGTTTGGGCAAATTAGGCGTGTATGTTACATATGTGTGAAAGCTGACTGATTTTATTCATCAATAATGCTGTTCTCAAAATAAAATGTACACTTTTATTTTACTCGTGATAAAGTTGTTTAATGTTCTTTTAAGAAAATCGCTTTTGAATATTGAATGATATATAGTGTCTGCGCAGCATAATGTAGTCTTATAATTTAAAACAATCGTGAACATATCTAACAAGACAAAACAAAATAGTATTTATCCAGGAAAGTGTCAATAAGTTCCATGACTTTTTTCAGGATTGTCCTACCAAATTTTCGCAGTAGGAGACAATGATTGCAATGAATCATCATTTTTTGTCATTTGTGGGTACAATAATTAGGCGTATACTGCATCTAAACTGGATCCAAAGAGTGACCAACGTAGAAGTAAAAAAAAGGTTGCACAGAGAAGAAGACCTTATGCAGGCAGTGACGAGAAGTAAATTGGCACTATTTGGACACATATAGAGAATGGACAACAACAGGAGCATTTAAAGTGTGTTGTTTGGAAAAATGGAAGGAACCAGAAGAGAGGAAGACCCCTTCGGAGAATGGCTTAACGACATCATAAGATATTGTTGCCAGAAAATTGTGCACTGCTTGAGCATATTGGCACAAGAGAGAGGAAAGTGGAAACAAATGACGAAATGTGTATTGGATACCTACGGGCTATCTGCCCAAGGATCGTGATGATGATGATGAATAACACTGTAAAGTACCGTATATGTGTGCATGCCAAACATTTACTGATTCTAAATTACGTTTCACATTCTCTGAGTAAACGATAGTCTGCCATTTGTTAATTGATGTATTTGTTCATTCTTTGCCAATACGGAAAAACAAGAAGTATAATAGGCTGGGTAGGCTGTCAGCAACGCGCCAGAGTTGTCCAGGCTGAATAAACCAAGCTTAGGTCGTGGTGTATTATTTAATTCTCAAAGCTACAGAACGAAACAAGAAATAACAATGTTGTATAAAATATATTTTAATATGCAGATGCATTTTAAGCCTAAATTGCTTATGTTTTAATTTGTATCATTTCACACCAATGTTATCCTGATCATACTATTGGTGTCATGTCATAAGAGGTATTCCTTTGCATCTCTCAACAGAGCAGTGTAATTATTTGGGTTAGAGAACGTCCCACAGAAGAGAATATTACAGAACTACCTCAGATTATTTAAGTGACCTATGGTCCACAAAGTATTGCAGCATTTTCCTACCCGCTGGAATTTAGCCTAATTAAGTTCAGAGCCAAATTTAGCGTGAGAGTGTGTTTTAGTGCAATTATTGGTGACGAGGCTGAGATCACCATCTCAGCTACACTTGAGAACCTGGTTGAAAGCACGGGCAACTGTCTGGACTTAAACCTCGGATCTCAGCCGTGCCAGATGAGCCCTGCGATTTTTGAACCACCTGGCCACCTCTAAACACTAATTGTATAACGTTACATACATAATGTGTTGGGAATATGCAAGGTGATCTGTATATACTGTGGTGCAACGGCCTCGGAGCAACTCTGCAAGTGCTAGGCTCTTCTCGCAAAATATTCCCCCAGGTAGTGTGTATTTGCGCCGCGAATACAAGTTAGCACAGAGCATCGGTGTGGTGTCTGTGATTTGTGTGTGGAGCGACTGCGTGCGAAAACGCGCTGCGAGAGTGGATGCGGAGCCGCGGCACGAGCGCTCGGTGGGTTAATCGCTCGCGGGTGTTGGCGCTAGCGTGCCGCGCTGTCCGCTGCGTTAGCCGTGGCGTCCGCTGGTGTGTGGGTTAACTCCGTGTGGCTTCGGGCCAGCAGCACGAGTATCTCCCTCGGAGAGGGCGCTAGCGTGGGGGGCCCGATCACTCGGTCGGCGGGGGCCCGGCTCGAGCCGACCAACGCGGTGGTGGAGGAGGGAGCCGAAGGGGCGGACGTCGTTGTCCCACCTGCCTAGCCAGGACGGTGTGGTGGACGTCGGCCCCCGCAAATACCGCACTAAAATGTTACGGGAAATTATAGAGAAAACATTTTATTTCAAAGCCTCTACACGTCTGGTACCAATTTCAATGCACGTTGGATATTTTAACACTCCTCTATTGAGAATAATTAAATATGTTATTTATTTCAGCAGGAAGGGCCTAATGAGTTTTATGGACATTGGTTGCAGATACCCACAGCAAGTATCGGTACGAGCTTCACATGTAACAGGAATAGGGAACTGTATGAAAATTAAGAATACCTTTTCTGGCAATAAAACAGGTGTTAAGATGTTCAAACACCAAATATATATTTTGTAAGGAATTAAGTCTGTATTAACCACACGTACTTGTGGTGAATATGCAAAAAAACATGCTGTGATTATAATATATGCATTGTCTTTGAAACTAATTGGCCTACACCACAGAAAGCCTTCTTTGTGGCCTAATCTCACCAGTGTCAGACCAGAGAATGCCAAAAGGCGAAAAAAAGGTCCCATGATATAAATATAACTGGTCTAAAACGTAAAATAAAAAAAAAGCATTTTTAAAATTTAGTTAGTGGAAATGTAGTCCATCAGCCTATTGGCTTTCCAGACAAATATTATCAAGCAGCATTTGTTGAATCAAGGTTTCATCCTTATTCCATGTTCATTATTCCATATGTTCACATAGAGTAATATTTATAATAATATTATAATCCAGCAGCATTATTTTAACACGCCTGACTGGTCATGAAAACCAGAAATATCGAAATTCGAAACCAGTCCATAGTTTCCTTGCGAAATAAAATGCTGCTTGATAATATTTGGTGTGAAAAGGCAATAGGGCTGATGGACTGAAACTGCGTTTTTTATGTTTCTGTATGGATGTAGAAAGATACATACTGTAATGTATATTGAAAGCTATTTCACTCTTGCTTGCCAAAGATCAGCAGAGTGAATGCTGATTTGAATAAGGGATCTCTCTACTTACTAACGAGTTAGGTTCCAGAGGTCTGTTCATAAGGCCAACTTCACTCCTATCGATTCCAAACATGTTATACGGCATGTACACTAAACACGGGAAATAATCTTCTGTAGAAGTAGATGCCACCGGTTCTTCATGTTCTGCAGATGTAGATGTCACCACCGGCATCTACTTGAACTTACAACTCTCGGTCCGAACAGGCAACTGGACCTACGGACAGGTTTATTCGTATCTCTGAAAGTTCGTAAGTCGAATGCATACCGAAGTCAACCCATACGGGTTACCCGTATTCTTGTACAGGGAAAATTAACTTTCAGGTCCCAAACGGCGTATACAGCCGTTTTAATACGGGCAAACATTTATTTTTTGTCTGTTTGTTTGTGTTTCTCCCTTGTGATGGCGACTTTGCAGGATGAACGTTGAGATTTATAAGGGGTACGGGGTGACCAATAAGCTCTGAATTGGTCTGTGATAAGGTAGGTAGCACTGACACGAGAGAAATAAAAACACGCTGGCAATGACTATGCTACTAAGGGGCGTGTCAAAACGCCCAATGCATTTGAGTGCCGAGCTGTGATTGGCCCGATAGCAGGGCGAGGCCGCGCCTCCTCATGAATATGCTAATCACAAGCGTGCGTACTGTCCACGTGCGCGCAGCTCTGGGTCGATATTCCGCTCACACGCGCACAAAAAAGGTACCGCGGTTTAAAAATATATATAAATAAGCGTCGCTTAAATCGTCGGTTATTGTAATTCGTGAATTGCGAGTGATACGAGAATGATTCGCGATACGAAAGAGCAAGTGTCGCGTGTCGCAGTTTGCGCTTCAGCGCATCTGCGACAAATGTACGTGACTCGCCACTGTACGTACAGTGGCGAGTCCAATGTAATTTTAATTAACCGCGTCGTACAATAACAGGGCGCTAATAATGATTAACTGCGTTGCCGACAATAATACTAATCGTGGTAGTTCTGTATTGTGGCTGTGAACGGCTTCAGTGTCGTGTTTGTGCTGTGCTGGGGTGTTGTATTTTCGATCTTGCATTTGGAATTGCAAAAAAAATGTATGAGGAAATGTAATGTTTAGTTAAAACTGTCTTATATATTCATCTAATAACTTTAATTGACGAATGGTCTTAAAATGTTATCAGTAATATAGACCCCGTCTAATATTTGGCTTAGAATTCTACGCAAAACGTCATCTTTTTTTTGCTGCTATTATCAGCATAAGACTGTATACGGGGGGAGCATTGAAGTACAGGTCAACATTGCTGGTTGCAGTTGTGCCCTTCGCTTCTACCCCGGGTAGCCCCGCATCTTATAACAATAGTACCCCTTGGTGCCTCATGTTTATGTCTCCGAGTGTGACACTCAACTCTGCTCGGCTTCTGGGAACCTCTACGTAGTGGTTTGATCATTTAAAGCAGTAACGTGCACAGAGCCGTTTGTCAATCCACTGCAGGATGAGGGTTCTGTGGGTTGTGTGACCACACTTCACGCTGGACTAAAGCAAACGCTTCATAGAATTGGATTCTGGATGTTTGCATAAAACACATTTTTCACCCTTTCGGTGTGCCATTTAAAGTTACGCAAGTGAAGATGAATTTTCATTTGAGATATTTTATAAACCCAAACCTTGAACCTACATGATATTTGCCAACGACTCAAAACTCGAAAGCACCAAACCATATTTCATTTTCCCGTAATGCAGCATCAATATATATAAAAAACAATTGATCAACCCCAAACAATGTGGAAATAATGTTTCTCAGGTTGAACTAATACCAGCAACCGGTCACCACACTTGTACCCCCTGCATTTGTAACACCGCCACGTGCTGACCTGTTTTCACAGTTGCCTGTCCTTTGTGAAAGGTTTCACCAGATGTTGTTTGGCTGACTGGTTGTTTTTATGATGCACTTTAGACTGCCCTTTCAAACTTGTCAAAAACTTCAGCGATTCCTTTCGATGGTTCCATTACTTTGTTCTTTCCTTGAGCTAAACCCATTTTCTTATTCTTGTTGGGCCATGCTTTTGCATGGACTCCCTAAATGTGTAATTGTCTACTATTTATGTTTGATATATACCTTCATCAACTTGTTGCCCGTATACATATTTTGTTTTTCGTTAATTGAATGTTCATGTAAACATAAATATGGTCCACACTCCACTGGAAATGTTTTGGATTTTTTTACCATGCATTTTTGTTACAATTTTGCTCTGAATATCACGTCGTTAAAGAAGAATTTTTTTTTTTTTAAATCTCACAGACCAGCGTGCCTCACTGAAGCAATTTTTCTCAAGACTTATTCCAAAAAGAATTGCAGGTGGCACCATTAGCCTCACAATTGGGGGTGCCCATTTAGGGTGAGCATGGCCCTGTATGCCAAATTAAGTGGAAAATCAAATGTAAGATGGTATTCTGTGTGCAGTCATTGGTGACCGTGCTGAGACCATCAACTCACTACACCCGAGAACCCAGTTTAATCGTAGACAACTGTCAAGATTCCAACCCAAGATCTCGGCAGTGCCCACTCAACGCTTTGACCTCTGAGCCACTTCGGCGCACCCCCTTGTTTTTTTTCTATTAAAATAAAAATTTAAACATTGCATTGCCTTGCCCCCTGTCCAGTTCCACAGATGGAGGCAGGCTCTCTCCTGGAGGAGCACTTGCAGGTGCGTGTGCGGGATGCTCTCAGGAGGGACGGGGTGAAGCTGTGGCTTGAGCCTTACACTGACAGTGGAGGAGCTGGTGCTGCCTTGGAGGTAATTGCACTGCACTGCTCCATACACCTCAGTTCTGGTGTACATTGCATTTCACTCAAGGTCTGCAAATGTCTCGGGTTGCATTCCTCGACACTGATATTCTTAATACAGCAAGAGGTCATATTTTTTCGAATCCTTGAGAATTATTATTAAGTACGGACCATGGAAAGCCATATATTTGTTTACATCTTACGGATACTTTGTCAGTAGATTACTGGATGAGGGCTTCTACATGGCGTGAATATCATAGTGGCTATTTGACCACACTTATCTACACTAGTCCGTGCGGATTGGTGAAGGTCTGGAGCATAGATGTGGGAGCATAAAGCTACATTACAACAAATACAAGGGCTATTTGGCTGCACTGCCCTCTGTTGACAATGTAGACCATATACTTTTTACATGTTCTGTTTTTTGGTATTTACGTGCTGTGTAGTGCTCTGCTCCATTAATAACTGATACACTCCTCTGCATGTGTGTGGCCCTTGTTGTGTGTATTTGTGTTGGGCAGGAGCTGGGAGCACGGTACAGCTCTGAGCTGAGTGCGGAGCTGTCAATGGTGCTGGGAAGCCTGGAGACGCTGCGCTTGCATGCCCTGCGGAGGCTCCATGAGCAGGCTGCCTTCAAGCAGTCCGGCGTCGCCACTATCCGATACCGCATGGCCAGACCTGGGGTTAATAACGCGCACATTGCAGCACAGGGAAAAGAGCAGATCGGAAAAACGTGGCACAGAGCAAAGTGTAGGGCAAGGACATCATTGCAAAATGCCCAGTGTTTATTGAATATGGATTATTTTTCTCTCAGTGTAGAGCTACAACCACCGTAACTGAACACGAAGTAAAATGTCAAGATTTAATCGACGTGCGGAGATGGCCGATGCGTTTAATTATTTACATTGCTCACTTACTGTCATATTGCATAATACAAGGCATCAGCAGCGGTGATGGTATGAAAGTCATGGAGTTAAAAATAACTGAATGCGTACGGTAAGGCTAAGAATAAACTACTCGTGAGACTATTTGTTGGGACATCATCATTGCAACCGTGATCTATGGACTGGTGGATAAAGGCCTCAAGGCCTAACTTGTCAGTCTTGCAATGCCACAATTCATCTTGCTTTTGCACATGATTTAGTCTCATCACTCCATCTTTGTAATGTCCCTCTTGAATACGTATCTCCTTCGGCTGTCATCCCTTCACCATTGTCATCCATAAGCCATCATGTCTTCTAGTGATGTATCGTTCCAAATGTTCTTAATAGCCAATATGATGTCTCTGATTTGCATTCATTGTCTCGTTGATTATGTTTTCCTCTATCTGCCACGCAGTGTAATTTCTAGGATGCATAATTTTTTTGTGTTTTGAATATTTCCATTGTACTTATCATCTTACATGTTTCTTATCCATATGTCACAGCAGGTAATGTGCACTGATTTAAAATGTGTGTTTTTGGGCAAATGGGCATACTGCTTTTCATCGTCAAATACAATTTTCCAAAAGCACTCCTATTCGCCTTTATTTGCCTTTTTGCCATCACTCCTCTCAGTCTTCATAATAAAGGTTTTTGGGTTAGATTTTGGGTTAGATCGCGATCTAACCCAAAAACCTTTATTATGAATAATATTGGTCGCGAAAGCCTACGTGTTAAACTGACTCCTCTCAGTCTGCTTTCAATTATTTCCAAAGATATACATAATTTCATTATTTTCCAGTAGTTTTCCTCCAACTATTTTGTTCAGGTAACTGGTCATTAGTCTGAGGGACTCTGATAAATAGACACAATATGTGTGTTACATTGCTCATCATAGTAGATGTTGTGCCAGTCATAAAAATGGTAGCATATATATTGTCTAACAAATGATAACCACATTCCTGCTCCAGTTGAAATATATCTTTAATTGACATTCTACAGTATCATGAGAACAGATGGTGACGATGAGAATGAAGATGGCATGCTGTGGTTTGTTTACTAGGGTGGCCGACTTGAGACGGGGTCACTCGAAACGAGGCTCGACATCACAGGCCAGCAGCTCAAGGCAACGTGAGCTTTTGCAGCACTGCGCTCGGTCACTTCACGTGCACTTTTGAGCTGTGAAATGCAGAAGGCAATGCAGTCACAGTTCAGGATACATCACACTTGGTCATTCCCTTTATGATTTTTTTTATCATCAATGAGCGTTATATGTCACATTTGCAATTCTAATTATGCTTGGTAAAAATGATTAAACCATTAACATTGAATTTTTGTATATTCTCCCATCACATCTTGACCTCGCATACAGAATAGGCCAGCTGTGCGATATCCCTTCTGTCAACCTGAAGCTTATATCCGCTGGCCGCATCATAGAAGATGGTAAGAGAGAATAACGAATACACATACTCAGATTGTGTTGGTCATTCATGTGCAAAAACAACTCATGAGTGAATTGGGCAACAAGGTCATTGTATATGTGGTATGATTAATGGATGTGTAAAACTGGACCAAGGTGGGGTTATTTAGGTCCATGACGATTGGCAGTCGGTAACAATTCTGCATTTAAGGCATAGGAAGGTATAATGCCATGCTATTTAGTGACATCGCTGTGCAGTGGCTATAGTTGCAGTATGTGTGCTGTGTACGTGTGGTATGTGTGGTTGCAGGCCGGAGTCTGCAGGAGCAAGGTGTTCGCCCTGCCGCCCAGATCATGGTTGTGCCTTTAATGCTGACGGAGCGCCAGGCTCATGAGAACGAGGAGCAGCAGCTGAGGCTGGCACGAACACGGCAGGGTGCACAGCTTCTGGCCGACATAGGTACTGTTGCCATAGACTGGGCACTTTTAAGACTCGTTGCAGTGCGTTTTCATAACAATGTGTGTGGATATACCGTGTCCTAATATAATGGGGGTGTTTCGTGGACCCCTGAAAATTGTAATTTTGGTTAATAATCGCGTTCCCGAAACTTAAAAATGTAACTACATGGAAAGCAACATTGAATTATTGTTCGCTGCATCTCCACGCAGCTCATGAATGCCATGCACCAGGTAGTCCAGGTTTTCATACTCCCACTAAACAGTAAATTCCATAGCATTGGATTGCGTGTTTAAAAAATTGGCTTGCGATATTTTTCAATGGTTTCAGTGGTGCTTTGTTATATAAATTCACTATAAATAACAATACAAACTATTACCAGGCTCAGGTTTTGTCTTCATGGAAATAACAGGACCTTGTTAATAAAATAGGTTTGCCAGATCACTTCACCCCTAAATTAACCCAGTATTTCAAAAACAAAGACATATCCCCCGCATAGTCTTAACATACTGTTGGGCAAGTGCTGTTAGCAGCACCTATGAAGGCTGGCACAATACACGAGGGGGTGGGTGGGCCAGCACCACGCCCGACCGCCTTTGTCTCCCCACTGGAGATGTTTGTACACTGCACTAGGTATTAATTTGAGGCTGAATCGTCCTAGGGGGGAGGTCCAGCACCGGTTCAGATCATCGTCACTGGTGTTGGTATACATGAGCGGGAAACAAACCCGGGTTGCTGGGTTCGTAGCCCAGCGCACTAACCGCTTTGCCACCGTTCCCCACCCAGTATTTCAAAGATACACTTGTAATCCACGAACCACTGTCAGACTAGGAAAGCAGTCCTACGGCCACAGTTGGGGATGGCCTGATTTGACCTTTGGGTGATAACAGAAATTCCACACATTTCCTTAATTTGCAATCCATTTAAATGAATAAATGGCTCAAGGGGAGTGGCAATTAAACGTCGGTTGGGCATGCACTCGGAAAGTCAAAGCGTGCTGTAGATTATTCAGTGAGCTTTGACAGCTTAACATTTTAATGTAAATTGTGACCCCATTTGGTAAAGAGGCTGCTATTTCCTAATATAGTTCCAAAGTGTATGTAGGTTTGTATGCTGTTATTACAATATATTCAGTATTTGTGTAAAGTAAAAAAAAACGTAAATTTTTGTAAGATTTTACAACCAACTTATCCATTTGGCAATAATGCACTCTTTTACTTATCTTCCAATTGTAAAAAGACAATAAGTGGATTTCATTACTTATTGAATTTTAATTAAGGTAATTCAGATTGTAAGCAGCAGTGTTTTCAGTGGTGACTCATGCTCGCCCACATTCCTTACAAAATTAATCGCGCGACATGAACTAGCACACTTAATTACCTATAATCAGACCATACATGGATCAGAATGTGACCTTGTTCACTGTAATGTGATTCCATTAACACCACGTCCTGAACCATGTTATATCTGCTGTGCGCGTGTGCATGCATGCTCAGATGATGACATGGAAGCTCCAGCCAACACACCATATCTGCAGATTGCTGATCAAAAGGGGAACCCCATTCAAATCCCCCAGCAAGAGAAAAAGGTAAAGTCATCACTCAGAGAAGGGTCTTAGAGTTGCTGCTGAGCTTCATCTTGCATCTGCAAATAATCATGTATTGTGAGTGTGATTGGTGCATTATCATCAGTTGTGTGTGAGTATATGAGAGTGGTGGTGTAATTGTCACAATAATGTGCTACAATCCTGGTAAACCAGGTTTAATTCCTGGAATGAAAAGAGATAACATGTGGTATCTGAACTTGGTCTGCCTTTCCCCACAAAGCTGACTTCACTTAAAAATCAGTAGCTGATACGATGGGGTTCAACATACATTTTTTATGACGTAACACAATTATTTGCTATTATCTGGTTTTAATAGATGCTCTATAACAGTACTTGTCCCAGTAGTTTGTAATATCCCAGTACATGATATATCCAAGAACACTTCAATGGATCTTACAAGTTTCTGTCAAACGGGTCCTTGCATTCGGAATATTTTGCCAATTCTATTCATGCTAAATCATGTTTTTTGTTTTGCTTGATTTTATTTGGGTAAATGATCGTGATCCGCATGGAATATTAATGGTTATTTTATATCGTCGTGGTTGTATGGGTGCTGTGGCTGTGTGCAGGCTCTCATGCTGGCCATGTCGCTGCACGAGAAGGGCCGTGCAATGCTGAAGCGGGGGGAGCATTCATCCGCCCTGCTGCTCCTGCTGGACGCCGACCGGGAGTTCAAGTGCGATTGTCCGCCACCCACAGACATGCAAGCAGACATAGATCATTCCCTCTTATGTAGCTTCATTAGATCGTGGGAAACCTTGGCACCTTGCTCCATTAAAACCGCACCACCGATTAGCACGGTTGGCTACGTAGGGTATGAAAGAAGTTCAGCATACATATGTACAATCCTAGTGACACGTCTGTGTTTTTTTTGTTATTGTCCAACTCTCTGTGGCAACTCGATGTTAACAAAATGAGCGAATGCAGATTATCAACTGCAGATGCAGGCCACGTGCAGTATTGTTACCTCCTTGTACTGTGTCAGTTGTAATAACAAGTGCTTGCTTATAGCACTTGGCCAGGCAGTGTTAAAAAACAGGCTGAAAAAACGAAGCGTTGTTGTTTCTCAGGCAGTGCCGCTCGGAGCTGCTGTCGGCCGTAGACAACTTTGCGGTGCTGTGCCTGGACGTGGTGTGGGCCTACCTTCGCCTGCAGAGCCTCGACGCGCTGCCCGATGCCCACGACCGCCTGGTGTCGGCGCAAGCCACGCTCAACAAGTGCTACGGGGTCAACCTGGAGAGGCTCTACTCCCTTAAGGCATGTGGCCGTGACATGCCACTACACAGCACAACATGTATAAACAAAAAACGAATGTGAAAAAGGGCCGTCAGTTTCAAACGGCGCCTCCTATATCTTTTTCATTATCAGGCAGTGTTTTTTACGAATGCGTTTAGTTTTTTTGTTTTTTTTTGTCCTTGTGTACCACTACCAATGCATTATCATGTTGAGGTAGGTGGCTGCGGTGGTTCAGCAATTGGAGCGCTGAGCTTCTTACACTGCTGAGATTCTGAGGTTGCATTGTGGTAGCCATGCGTGGCTACACTAAGTTCTCATATGAAGAGAGCTGATGGTCTGAGCCTGGTCAATAATGACTGCACGAAATAAACCATCAAATCAAATTGGGCTAAAATTCGAGCTTTTAGAATTTAAAAAAGTCGGTTGGCTGCCATGTGATGATCTTTTTTTCATAGTGGGGCAAGTGTACAACCTAATGGGTGGATAATAATTTAGTCTAAGAAGTAGTTTTTTGATAAGTGCTTCCATAGGTCATTCTCTAACACAAGATGTATGCACTGCTCTGCAAGAGTTGCAAATGGATTCTTGGTATCGTAACAATGCCGATAAAACAATTGAAATAAAATATAGATAAGCACAAATATAGGTATTTTAAGAATGCATCGTGTGTGTCCATGAACAGGGGAGCAGCGGGCGTGAGCAGGCACTCTTCCTTCGTCTGTACCTGCTGCAGGGCATCGTGTGGTATCATCAGGGTAATTCTGAGCAGGCAATACATCATCTCAGCCAGGTGAGATGTGCAGGTATGCACGCAGCCACAATTTCTCCCTCTAGATCACATATGTTCGTCTTCCCATTGTGAAGCTACCTGTAAGCAGGACCACTTCCATATTTGCAGCTTGCACACATATGTCTTGGAGTTTCATGAAGTGGTCAGATTTCATCAGAAAATGTATAGTAGCAGTGGTCAAACCGCAGTCCGTGAGCCACGTGCAGTTCCTGGGCAGTTCAAATGTGGCTCTCTGAAGACACAGCTCATATTTTACTTTTCAATATAACTTTATTGGAAACAGGAAAAATCTACGGAAGTGAGAGCAGCCTTGGGCCACTCGCCCCTGCCAGCAGAGCCCGGACGCGAGTACTCCCGGGGCCTTTCCGCAGGTCTCTTTATTCAAAACTCCACAGCCATCCAGCGCGGGCAAACCGACGGCGTGACCAACCCACGTGAAGTTGATTTGTGTCTTGTGATTCTCGGCCATATGAATATTTTTTTTGGTATGCAGCTCATAGTGTCAAGAAGTTTGGCCACCCCACATTTATCAGGTATCTAACCTATAAATGTCATTGTTTGCCTGTCTGTGTGTGCGGCCCAAACTTTTGCGAAGGATTTGGCTCGCGAACCGTGGGGTTTACGTTTAAAAAAAGTAGCCAGGTAGCACGCGCGTAAGCCCCGCGCTGAGCCAGCGCTATTCCCATTTCGCGTCCGTCACCTTTAAAGCAGTTTAATGAGCGATTTAGTGCTGTTTCACTTATTTATTATTTAGCGCGCGCGCGCCCATACCAACTCACACACGTTCCGTGGGGGTGAGGGGGGATTTCTCTTTTGTCTGGACACTGCCCAAGGTAACACACACGGATTTAAAGCTCCCTTCAAACATACATCTATTTCTCTCATTTCTATTACTTAATTTTCCAGAATACAGCGTACACATTAACATATGTTTTATGACAATTAATATACACCATGTAACACGCTTTTTCATCTGGCCACTAACTGTTATATTTAATTTCCTTAAGACAACAAAGTCCAGCCAATGCGTCTTTTTGCCCACAAACTTTCTTGTTCTGAGCAGGACTTTGTCAATAACTTTCATCACTTTGCTTACATTTATTTCACGTTTTTTTATATATAAGGTGTTTGATGAAGTACATACACAACATGTTACGCACGTTTTTCCCTTGCATACTAACTCTTCTATTTCACTTAAGACAACAAAGTACAGCCATTGTCTCTTTTGCCTCACAAACTTTCCATTATCTGACCGGTCATGAGCCTCCCCTAGGTCGGCTCAGCTTCAAATGATAACCTGCTGTGATGTGCAGTTAACATCGCCTCCGGGGACTCAAATTTATTTATTCTTTACACTGTTTATTAACGCTTCTGCAAATTATATTTCAATGCATCACCATTAATTTAATAACTGTCTCCATTTCGCATTTGCTGGACAAATTACAAACCAACATGCCAGCAACAATGTCGTCAACGTACTTTATTAATTCACTTTTTTAACGCATTCATTAAACTTATTTCCAACTTTCCCTAACATCACACACATTGCTTCTTTCGTTACTGTCACGTACATAAACCAACTGCCATGCAGTTGAGAGGGGGTCAAATACTAATTTCCCTCATTAAAATTTAAATCAATTTCTAACATTTTTGACATGCGTTTTTCTGGATTTTGTTGTTATTATTCTGTCTCTCACTGTTCAAATAAACCTACCTTTAAAATTATAGACTGATCATTTATTTGTTAGTGGGCAAACGTACAAAATCAGCAGGGGATCAAATACTTTTTTCCCTCAGTTTACCTGACCCCCATCAAGACCCTGCCCTATTTGATATGGTCTGCAAGCAAATGGTCTATGGCCGATGTGGGGAGTTCAATCCAAATTCGCCATGTATGCAAGACCGCAGGTGTACCAAGAAAGACACTCAGGCCATGATGGCTATCCTCTATATCGTCGCAGAAATACTGAGCATGGTGGATTTGAAACAACGCTCAGACCTGGCACTAACTTCTGAAATGAAGGTTGACACCCGGTCTATCGTTCCCTACTGCCCTCTTCTGTGAAAGATCTTTGAGGCCCACATTAATGTGGAATTCTGCAATTCTGTGAAAGCCATCAAATATTTTTGCAAATGCATCAACAAAGGCTCTGACATGGCTGTCTTTGCCTTACAAAAAGAGGGGCAAAGTGTGGATGAGGTTAAACTTTTTGGCCAACGAAGATACATCAGCGGCAATGAGGCCATTTGGAGAATTTTTGGCTTCCCCATCCTCGAAAATGGTCAACGCATCTACTTCACCAAAAGAAATTCCCGGCAACAGGCCCTGGCTCCACAAGATACCACCCTGATGGCGTTCTTTGTTTTGTGCCAAAGTGACCCATTTGCTGACAACCTGCTCTACCATGAAGTTCCCTCCTACTGTACATGGACTGCTAAAAAAGCAATGGAAGCGACGTGCTGGTGATGGTGAATCTGATGCCTTAGGAAGAGTCTACACAGTTCATCCCAAAAATCGGGGGTGTTACTTTCTCCGAATGCTTCTCCATGTTGTCAAAGGGCGCAAATCTTTCATAGACCTCAAAACAGTGGAAGGAGTTGTCTGTCAAACATACAGGGAAGCTTGCAATGTTCGTGGAATTCTTGAAGATGATCAGCATCTTGATAAAGCTATGACAGAAGCTTCTGTTAGTCCCCTTCTCAACTAAGATTGCTCTTCTGCATAATTCTTCAAGTTTGCAGCCCATCTAACCCCATGGGACTCTGGCAAAAATACAAAGAGGGCATGAGTGAGGACATCCTCCAAAGAGCTCTACGTGAACATCCAAACCTCGACGTCACCTTTTCTGATGTCATCTTTAATCAGGCCCTCATCCTCCTTGAAGACAAACTTCACTCCATTGGTGGAAAAGACCTAACGTCTATCGGACTACCAACGCCCTACAGGGACAACCTGCACGCCCTTGCTCAAGGACAATCTTTAACAGTGGTGTGACTGATTTTGTAAACTCCGTGCTTTTCTCATGGCCAACTTTATGTTGGATGCTCTCGTGTAGACAATGACAAATATTTACATTACTTTGCACCAGCAGGCAAGACCAGAAACATTGTTTACAAAGAGGCTGTTTGATAGGTGGGTGCGGCTCAGCAATAAGTAGCAGTTTCATTATTTTGGGGAGGCCCTATTTTGTGTTTCATTACTTTGGAGAGGCTCTTGCTTTGGTTGGGGGCGCAACTCCCTTCCCACGTGTGCTGCTTTACCCCACGCCTGCTGGGGGGCAGCTCGGCTGTCGGCCGGTGCTCGCAGAGCCGCGCCCACACCTCGCCGCCCTGTGCGGCCTTCACATCGCTATTCTTCCCGGGTCTCCTGCCTGCACCCGCGCCTGCTGGCCACCATTTCGCCGGCCTGGCTGCCGGCGACTGTTGGTGAAGGCGCTCATGCAGTGCGGCTTCCTCGCTGTCCCACATCTCATCGCTCCATCCCCAAGTCTCCTGCCTGCCTCCGTGCCTGCCAAGTGTCCTGTCGGCGGTCTGGCTGCCAGCGGTTGTTTGCGGCCCCGCCCGCGCGCTGCTCTTATTTCGCCTCGGCCATTACCTGTCCTCCCTCCCTTCTCCCCATTCACCCCATTTATGTATTACAAATTATAGACCGTCTGTGCTTCCTCAAGGGCCTTACTTCAGAACTATTAAAAACAACAGTAACAAAGACCACAGTACAAATACACGTCTTTTTATACAATTAACCATGTACTTATGACTCTTAGCATTCAATACAAGGCATATACAAGTTAAGTATGACCTTCACCTTCGATTACAGTGTGCTGACCCTCAAAGGTGCATTAACAATTGTTTGCATTTCCCCTCTTCCTTGGTTCTTCCCCTAACATGACGTACATAAAAAACGAATCTTTAAAAACTCAGTAAATAGAAAATTTCAAATGTGTGTGTAAGCCGATGTCTGTGTGTGTAAGTCTATGTGTGTGTGTTAGTAAATATGTGTTTGTAAGTCCATATGTGTGTGCGTGTAGGTTGATTTAGTGAGTCGATGTGTTTGTGTGGGTCGATGTCTGTGTGTGTGTGTGTAAGTCGATGTGTTTGTGTGTGTGGGTCGATGTCTGTGTTTAAGTCGATGTGTGTGTGTGTCTTTTTTGCCCGGGCAACGCCGGGTACTTCCCGCTAGTTACTTATATGGATGGCCACCAAATACAAGCCAAGTGTTTGTGGACAGCAGCATCGGCAACGCAAAATATGGTGCACTCCTCCAATGAATTTAACTTATACCCCAGTGCTTTGCTCGGGGGTAATGTTTTTCAGGACGCATGCTAGGCATATTACACATGCATGGCATGCCTGGTGTATCACGCTCGTGTATGATGTGCCTGGTGCATTACTCGCGTTTGCCTTGTCTGGCCACGTGTGTTGCTTGCAGGCAGAGACGCTGCTGTCGCGGCTGGCTGTGGACGGGGAGAAGTTGGCCCACCTCGTGTCTCTGGGTTTCACGCCTCAGGAGGCTCGTCTGGGGCTGCGGGCTTGTGAGGGAAACTTGGAGATGGCTGCCACACACGTCATACAGAGACGGGAGGTGTGTAATAACCATATAGAGTCTCGGGATTTATTCTTGGAGTGTCCTGCACAAAAAAGATATACCACACAAAGCTCAGTACAGATAGATGTGCAAGCTACTTGCATTACTGTCTTCCAACTTGCTGTTCAGCAAAGTAGCTCTTTATGCACGTGTCACCAACCATGACCCCAAGCCTCATTATGCATGCATGAACCAACTTGCCTTGCAAAGAAACAATATCATATAGGTTACAATACACTCTCATGTCAGCTTCATCATGCATGCATGCATCACATCACGTTTGTCAGAATCCATTACTTACAATTTAGTGCAGTGACGCAGTGATAACGGATTGTGCTGTTGACCCAGCCATATTATGAGTTTCATTCCCAGTCATGGCTAATTTTAGTGACTAGTGATATCCGAACAGGGCCTGGGCATCCCCTTCACCGATCCACTAGACCAGAGTGGAAAGGTATCATCAATCTCTATCAGAATCAAAACCTTTATTTAGACTGTGAGCTTTGCTATTTTTCACAGATGTCCATCAAGGGTTGTACATGATAATAAAAAAAACCCCCAATCACAATCAAATTGATAGAATGGGTAGATGGGTTGGACTTGTGTGTGTGGCAGAATATTGTGCACAAAACATGAGCTTTGCGGTCCATGGAAAGAATTGGGACACAGTATATAATTTCTCTCCTCCCATTTGCAATCCGGCGCCTGTGTCTCTGGGCTATGGTGCAGTTGCACCGCCTGCACACTATAGCCGTGCCACCGTGCGTGTGCGCGTAGGAGCGGCGGGCGATGCGCGAGCGCGAGCGCGAAGAGAGGCGTCAGGCACGCCGCGTGCGCCGCTACGGCCGCACGGCGGGAGGCCACTGGGTGGACACGGAGTCGCTGCGCAATCTCAGGGCCATGGGATTCGCGAGCCGCACCGCCGCAGAGGCCCTCCGGCAGGCCGACAACGACGTTCACCACGCTCTGCAGGTGCCCCAAACCCGCATGTTTTATTTCCCCACCCCTCCCAAAGCGCTAAGCTGATGGATGCTGCAGGGGGAAATGGACAGGAAGAAACGGGGTCAGTTGGTGGGATAGTGCGAGCCATTGGATGGGACTCTCCATGAAATATGTTGAAGATCGAAGAAGGTGTAAAAGCATTTTTTTTATGAGCAGCAATCCACGGTTCAAATAATTATCCGTGATAGAAAATGCAGTTGTTTAATCCCAGTCGATATTTGCAACCAACTGTGACCCTGCTGAACTGGTTGTCCCAATTGAAATATTGGTTCTTGCCATAGAAATGTGGAAATTCCACCACTGGTTCAGCTTCCAAAGGAGACAAGCCCTATATTGTACTCATTTGAGCATGGGGGCACTTTGACAATATTTCGTTTAATATTTTAATGTGCCGTTGATTGAAGTTGGCATACTGTATATTCTCATTTGACATTGAAAGGTAATTGTTTAATCTGAACTCAAACTAGAGTTCCAGGCACGCCAGCCCTGCATGACAATTCACAAGCTGAAATATTCTGCAAGCCAATAGTAACGTCCTTGGGGAGTGAGTCTTTGCTCGGAGTGAGTCATTGCTGGGAAAATCGCAAACGTTTTATTAAAACAATTGTCCTTGAGATATCAGACCGTTCCCTTTCATCAAAGTGACAAGCATTGTATTCATTAAGACACGGGTGAATGGGTCAGAATGCACTTCTATCCATACATGAAGGAGGCGTGTGTGCATAGGTGGGTGTGTTTCAAACGTGTTTGCATTCGGGTCAAGTGTGGACTATGCACAATTTATTTTACGTGGGGAACGGTAGTGTAGCGGTTTGCGCGCTGCCCTACGAACCCGGTGACCCGAGTTCGATTCCCGCTCACGGCTAACACCAGTGACGATTATCTGAACCGGTCCTGGGCCTCCCCTAGGTCGACTCAGCCTTAAATGAGTACCTAGTGCGATGTGTAAACATCGCCACTGGGGAGACAAAGGCGATCGGGCGTGGTGCTGGCCACCCACCCCCTCGTGTGCCGTGCCGGCCTTCATAGGTGCTCGCTAACAGCACTTGCCCCAAGAGTCCGTTAAGGCTATACGGGGGATCTTTGCCTTTGCGTTTCAAGCGTTTTTGCATTCGGGTCAGGCGTGAACTATGCACGATGTATTTTACTTGTGAGTTTTGAGGTCTCGGTGTATGCAGGAGTGTGACTGATGTTGCAGGGCAGTGAGTGATGCTGTGGCAGTGTCAGTGTAAGATAAACTAATATTGTTTAGAGCAGCAAACAGCACCAAGTAGTTCCAATACAATAGGGGGAGTCCGTGGCGTACAAACACTGATTATTGGATCCAGACTCAAGGGAGTCAATCTCCCTTGGCTCTTGCAGTGATGATAGTATTCTTCCATACTGCAGGTTAAGGCGCGCGTAGCTTGGCACATATACCGTGGTGAATTCACTGCCCTTTGTAGTGCATGGTGGAAGGTGTTTTTTGTGCACATGAGTAAGTGTAAGCTGTATATGCATGCATGTCCAGATTTTGGAAGACCACCCAGAGTTACTGGCTCTGTCGGACAATGACGCAGATGAAGAATCTGTAGAGGTTACTGAAGAGCTCCTCCTCCAGGTGATAACACATCACATAAAACTATCCAAACGTCATGAAAAGGATGAGTGCTGATCCAAAACGTAATCATATGCAACGAGTGATGACTGGCCCCTAACATTTCATTTACTGAAACAAACATTTTCAAAAACTGTAGAATCATGCAGCTGGTGACTTAGAACACAGAGCTGGCACGAGAGACAGGGGTTTGAATCCAGCTTTCAGCCTCCTGTAATTTTACCTGGGTTCTCAAGTTGTAGTGTGCTTAAGGGGTCATCTGTTCCTCCTAAAGTCATGAGGCTCAGTGATGCTTTTCTTGGGGAAGGGCATTGTTGTAATTTTATCAGAGGCAGAGAGGTGGCCGAAACAACCAAAATACCACATTATTAACTAGAAACCAACACTGAAAACTTAGCTGTCTTCAAATTATAAGTAGCATTAATTGATACATGATCCATGGTATGCATCACATGTTCCTTGCACTGAAGTAGAATATTGGTAGCTGGCACCATGCTTGGTTCACATGAATCAACAACTTATTTTCCAGCTTGGGAGGCTTAGCCGTTGATCACAATGGTGATTTTTTTTTTATTGACAACTGCTGAACATTAAGGTGTGAAAGAATTTTTGCTGTAGACATTTTAACGTCCACATCACTGCAGGTGATGGCGCTCGGGTTCGACTACGAGATGGCAGAGAGAGCTCTGCGCAGCGCGCGCGGGAATCTTCAGCGTGCGGTGGATACTCTCGTCACGTCCGGAGGGGTGCTGCCCCCCTCCACATCTTCCTCTTCCTCCTCATCATCAGCCACCACTCCCACAGGTGATGGACGGAGTGATGCACATTTCATGTGGAGATGGCAATGACAATAGCTGTGACGTAATTGGTGATTAAGCAGAGCGATGACCTTTGCTGGTTTCCACGACTGTTGGAAAGCAGACCCGAGCCGTACTAAGCGATGGCACAGGACCTCTCGCTTCTGGTCTCAGTGGTTCCATGGGCTCCTTGCATATTTAGTTAGTCATGATTAAAGTCTATATTAGCACTTGAAAAGGCTCTCATGACGTGGTGCTGGTCATACCTCATGTGCCATGCTGACATTGAGAGCACTTACCTCATCAGTCTGCAGGCTTAAATGGACATTTGTATTTGCTCAGACGGAAGGGTGAGGACAGAAGAAGAAGCTCGCAGTGAACGCGAGGCAATGGAAGAGGTGACAGCAGATGTCCCGGAGCATGAGGAAGACTATCTGGACAGTACCCTGCAGGAAGAGGCCGAGATCCTGCAAACGTACCAGACCCTTCTAGCACAAGCTCGCACACCCTGACACAAGGTAAATGAACGAAGACCTTCAATGCAAGCAGCTCAGTGGCCGGATGGCTTGGTGTGCAGAGTGCTGGACACCAGGGACAATTTACATGGGAGTCGGTAATTAGATTTTCATATTGGATGTTGGTTTCTAGAGGGAATTACTAAACAGTCACATGCTTCTTGACTTAAAGCTTTCGTGACTGCAGGAATTCATATTCTTTGGGTCTTTCGGTAAAGTCACGTAGATGGGTTCACAAAAATAACAAAAAACTACGGCGTTTCGATCTAAGGATGTGATCCCCGACATGGAATACCCCAGCGTCTACAAACTAAACTCCGTCTGCGGCAGTAGTTACATTGGGGAAACTAAGCGACATGTCTCGGACTGAGTCCGTGAACATAAGGCAGATCTGAAACATGGTAGGAACAATACCTCGGCCATGGCTGATCATTGCTTTAATGCGGTGGGCTCACACGAAATTGCTTTTTCTAAGACGAAGGTACTTTGCAAACCCACCAGCTATCAACAAAGATTCGTTCATGAAGCCATCCATATTTATAGACACAATTTCAACCGAGAAGGGTACAAACTTAGCAATCACTGGAAGGACGTTATCAACCAGTTTAAGTCATAACTGGCTGTAATGTTTCCATTTTAGACCTGGCAGCCCTTTAATTGGTGGAAGCCCACCACCAGGACCAGCACTGCCCACTACTACCATCACCACTAGCAGTAGCCCTTTACTGGTGGAAGCCCACCACCAGCACCATCATGACCCACTACTACCATCACCTCTAGCAGCAACCTCCACCGTCAACAGCGTGGAGCGAGATGCAATGTTTGCCTGGCGGCCGTTTGATTGGTGGAGACCCACTGCCGGTGTCGTTGTTTTACCCTACATTAACATTAGCTGCCCGCCCATGTTGCTGACACACTTGGGCTATGCCCATCTTTAAACCTTTATAAACAGTTTGCCTTTAGAGGCTAACCCCCTTTTCCTGACGATGACAGCTTGTGTTGCGATCGAAACGTTGTAGTTTTTTGTTATTTTTTTTACCGATCTACGTGACTTTACCGAAAAACCCAAAGAATATTCACATGCTTGTAAGGTGAGCCTAATATACAATACTGGACAAGTTTGCCTCTAAGTTTGAATCCATCATTTGAATATTACCCGTGCAAATTATTAAAATTTAAAAGGCTGTATCTGCGAATACTCAGGTTTCCCTTGCAAATCATACATTTTATTTCAATGGGAGTGCAAATGCCTGAAATTAGTGCAAGGATGAGAAAATAGACAATGTCTTCAAAATTAATCAAAGGTACTAATTAACCTATACAAATCAACACAAGGCAGTTCCTAACCCAGACAACAATGTAAAACAAGGTTTCAGGTTTTTAAAATGTTTAAATGGAGAATAAACAGTCATGTTCATTTGTATAATTTTTTAAAATAAATTCTCATTTTATTTCATGAATGTTTTGGATAACTAAAAACAGCAGTTTCAAAATCATCCTTTTATTTCCAAAACAGCCACTTAACTTAACCCATGGTCTTCCACTGTGATGGTGGTTAACTTTCTTGGTTGAGTTTTATTGGATGAGGTTAAACGTCTAACGATTCAGTGACAGCTTAAAATAAAGTCTTAATTTTAAGGTGCGTGCGTTGAATTGAGCATCTATAAGAACTGATGACTAAAAATAAATGTAAAGTATGTAGTTATTAGATACCAATTATTTTTAAGGCTAAGAGTACACCAAAATAATTGAGCTGGAACAAATAAGATGGACAAGATAATAAAAATATACTTGACTGAAGATCCCAAATTATCAAGATGAATTGCATTGTTGGTGGCGTTGGGGAGTGAATCGTTATTCTCCAGTGTCAAGTTCAGGTGAAACTTGGGTACATGTGACCATATCCCCAATGGAGAGGCACACAACAAGCATAAAAGTGAATAGTGGTTTACATAAACCCATGTTTTTGCAATCAAAGCACTACTTACCATTTTTCAGATATGAGACACTTTTTTGCCAGCACAAAATACTCTTTGGTTTTTTCGGTAAAGTTACGTAGGTAAAATAAAATAAAACTAAATTAAGTCACGTTTCGGAGGCAACACAAGACGGAAGCTTGTTGTCTCCGAAACGTTGTGATTTAATTTAGTTGTTTTCATTTATTTATTTTACCTACGTGACTTAACCTAAAAAAACCAAAGAGTATGAATCCTTGCATTCACGAAAGCTTCAAATCTAGAATCAGCACAAAATAGTTTGTCCTATGTGCAACAGATGTTTCATTCTATAAACTGATGTGATTTTCATTAATCATTCAATGCATTGAAATTTCAATGTGACAATTAGGCCTACAATATATATCAATTGGAAAATCTTGGTGCCCAGTTGGTGACAAGCTGAAAACATCAGCTGTGCTTCATATACAATTGTGTCAAAGTAATATTTGATTCAACCATGGCCAAACAACCCCCATTTCTAACAACATGGGGAAGCCTTCATCCAGCAGTGGACTGACAAAGGAGCATATTATGAAAGTGCTGATAAACAAATTTCAACACTAAGTACACTTTGAATAATGATTATAAAATAACTTATCTGGTGATATTGCTCATTCAAAACCTTGGAGGCATTGGGGTATGCAGATGACGAAATAGGAATGCCTCATTTGTCCAGTTTTCCACTATTATAGGCACCTTGATTATATTACGCATACTTTTCTGCTAAAGGGACAATGTTCAAGGGTTTTAAATGTTATAAAGCAATCACATTTCAAGAATATTTTCAATGTTGCATTAGAGAGAGAAAAAAATTAAGGATTCCTCGCAAAATGTTACAGTACCTTGTTTAAATGACTGCTGCTGTGATGTTTGATTTTCTTGTTTGAGAACCATGATAATAAAATATCTAATTTACAAAGGTGGTTACTGGAAATTGAAAACATCTATTATTTATGGGCGAGCACAGGGAGATTGAAAAGCACTGACTTAAGGGTCGAGTCCAGAACCCTGGAATGTAATTAGGCCAGATAATTCTGGCCGGGCTTTCAATGTTGGCAGTCGGATCACAAAAAGCAATGGATGCTACCACCATCATCTGGGCAACACGAATGTTTTTTTTCTAGCTCAGCGACTCAATCTTTGAACTTCAGTTTTGTGCATTTGTTAACTTGTGCAATACTGTGTTCAATATGTACATGCTACACACCATTAAATGTGCCCATCTTTCAGTGTACCGGTTTGCTCACAATGGTTATGCCCCAACAGCTTATGCTTACTTTCAGTGGTTTAGTCCAAAGCCGAAGATGGCCATAAGGTATAAAAACGCATCAAAACAACACGTAGTGAGATTTAATAAAAAAAATGGCACATTCCAATACCTTAATAAAACACCATTTTTGGGACTGGAAGCTTTGGGAAGATAAGCATTTCTACCCAGCTTGCTTACAATGCTGATGTAATATTTAAATACCTGATCTAGTAATTCATTACCGACTGGGCGTAATTGCCTGCACAATAGAGAATGCAAACACGGCTTCTGTATTTTCACGTGCATTATGAACCCAAAGTAACACCAGCTATTTACATTTAAAATTGTGGCTGATAAGCAACAATACAACACAGCAGCACTATATACTGGTTTATCCTTAAAAGATAATCATAACAGCCAGTCCATAGCTGTTACTTTGTGCTACTGGGCCAGCACAATGAGACCAATCCATTCCTAAAACTAGATACCTAAAAATAGCAATTATACGTTTTTTATGAATCGTGTTAACAATTTTGTGGTGTCCATAAGACAGGCCAGTGTGATCTAAAAACGTGTTACATTTTATACATCCACTTTGCTAGTTTTATAACTTAGTTGAGCTGCCAACTGTACACACCGAGATTAAAATAAGAGCTCTTGTTGACCCCACTCTTTTACTGTGAATCGGTTAAAGACTGCTTTCTAAAACATGTGCATTATTAATCGGATAAGACCACATGGTTGGTACAAGGCAAGTCCAGATTTAGATTCACGGTCAACAAGCATCTGCCATCAAGTTGCAGCACAGGGTTAGTGGGGAAGTAAACAGGACATTGTCTCACAGCAGCATACTCCTACAATAGTCTGTCACATTTCATGACATGACTTCATGACATGACTTCTGAATTTTACGAATTTAAGGCAATGCAGCAACATCACTTTCTAAGTTAAAAAGCAGCAATAACTTGGTTTTGTGATCATCTAAATTACATGTAATCTTACGGTGTTTGTATTCAACAAAGGACAGTGTTCTTTTAGAACATCATATTGTGTTGAACATTTAATCAAATAACTGGTTTTTAGCTCATTTTACCGTTGGATTTTGATATTCCAAGAGCAGTAAATGCTATTTAACTTTAAAAAAAAACATTGTAGATCAAAGAATATTACAAATGCTGTGATCATACCAGCATGAGCAAGGCATCGTGGATATAAGCAAACAAATATTCCGACTTGTGCTTTTGCTGAAGCTCACCATTCAGTGACATCTTAAACACCTCAAGAAATATATTTACAAAGCAAATGAACATATCCAGTCATTAAGTTACTAAACTCCTCCTCGTGTGCTCAGAAGAGAACATGTTTTCCCAACATCCCATTCAGCTTGCAGTTCAAAGGAAGGTTAACTACATTCCTTTTGGATTGAGTGAGAATATGCAGAGTTAATTTAAATAATTGCACAATTTTGGTAAAATTGGACCAGAAGATTTTTAACTTGTGTGCACCCCATCCTTCAGCTATACACCAACTACTAATTAAATATTACCACATTTCTAGAAACACTAAGGTTTCAGGAGATAAGCAGTCTTGAAAAACACAATCCCATTATAAGAATATATTGTGAAAGGCCAAAGCACATCTCCATCTTTAATGAGCTCCCATAAAATGTAAAAAAAAACCTGTAAACCTTAACAATAAATCCTCGCTATATAAAAGTGCCATGGTATACTGTGAACAAAGTACAATTACGTAAAATACTATGGTGTACAAGAGTATACCATGGTCTTTTAAAAATAAAAACGAGTGCATGTCAACCATCAAATGTAGCATATTATTTCATCAGCAAAATTATTCACAAAAAGAGAAAACACGTTGGACTCTGCTGTCGCAGTAATCAACATGGCTTCAGTTTCTCAGGAGGTACTTGAATCATCATAACATGAACGCATTTTCCAGTTATTTTCAGTTATGTGAATCGTGAATACATGCACAGGAAATTGTGCCATCTGCAGGCAGCGGTGGTATTATACACTAAAAACCTGAGAATGTTATTCCACTTCATCTTACAATGCGCTAGTATTAAAAAAGCAAAAACAAACTTTAAAATGCCAGTGTGACAATGGGTGCTAGTCACAGCGTATTAATATATCGATGTACAAATTTACTTGTACAGATATTCATAGCAGTAAAACCAGATTCGCACCTCGCGTAAAAATAAAAGCCATGTTGACAATAATATGGTAAGTCTGCACAGCTTAAATCAAGCAGTCTAGATTGAGGTCTTTAAAATAATTAAGACATCTATTGTTAACACAGCGAAAAGGCTCTTTGTTTATGTATCTCGCAGTTATATATCCAGGAAGACATTCGACACTGCAAACAAATATTAACATATACCATAAAGATTAAGCACCATTGCTCTCCTTTTCCAGTGTACCAGGTCTTAAAAGGCTGCTCCAGCTAAACTAAAGAAAAAAAACCCTTATACCTAACAGAAATAATGGTGACAATACTGTACCTTGTTTCACTAAGCTTAAAACTATAGTATTTTGAGACTTGCCTAAGAATGTTTTATTTTTTGAACTGTCAATGTTCTTCAATTCTTCAGCAATGTTTTACCACGCAACTTTAATTCGTAGTTGGCAAAAAAAGCAGCATTTCCAGGTTAATTTACCATGTTATATATACGAAGTTATTGCTGCTCGACTCGATTGTTTACATAAATTGTTAAATAAATAACTTGCTGAATATTATTCATCAGAAGGTAATGCACCGAGTCGCTCACTTTGATTGAAAGTATTATTATATATACTGTAGATATATACACACACGCGCACATTTATATCTATATATATAATTTGGCATTTTTTGCTACTGGAGCAGTCCTTCAAGAGGAGGGAATATATTTTTGGTTTGTCCTCTCCCGCCCGCACGTCTGCCCATCCAACATAACACGGAACAGCTCTGCATCCAAGTTGAGAGTTGTGGCTGTATCAGCATTGGTTGAGCGTCACTTGGCGTCACGCGCGGCTGCCTCCGGGGGCTGGCACTGTCTGCAGGGGTATGAGGCTCTCACATTGCTCGGGGTCACTCGTCCTGCGGGCACAGACACACACCACTAATGGTGATATTTAAAACAAGGTGCAATGCATATATTTATCAAGAGTGTTTTTTGTTTGCATTCTGACCACAAGTATTGTGGTTAATGTAAAAGGTTTCAATTTGGTGTTTTAACATCTTAATACCTATATTCTTGGTTCTTTCGGTAAAGTCACGTAGAAGGGAAACAATAAAAGAATAAAAATATAAAACATTAAAATTCTCACGACGTTTCGACTGCAACACAAGCAATCATCATCAGGTGTGAAAACCACAGCAAAAATTTGAAAAAAGTGGCGGTTTTTTTAACGTTGGCACCACGGAGAGCAAAATTTTCTTGCTGTGGTTTTCACACCTGATGATGATTTCTTGTGTTGCAGTCGAAACGTCGTGAGAATTTTATTGTTTTATATTTTTATTATTTTATTGTTTCCCTTCTACGTGGTGACTTTACCGAAAGAACCAAGAATATGAATCCCTGCAGTCACGCAAGCTTTAAATCAAAATCTTAACACCTGTTTTGTTGCCAGGAAAAAGGGGAAAACCTATTCGCATATTTTGGTAATGGCAAAGGCCCATGATGTAGCTGCTCACCCAGAGCTCTCATTACTCTGATAGTGCATTGTCTTTGTGCTGTACGCCTTTTAGCGTCCTCTGGTCTAACACTCTTTTGAGACTAGGCTCAAAAGAAAGCTGTCTCTGGTGTGGACTAATCAGTTTCAAGGACAATGCATATATCAGTGTTTTTTTTTTGCATTCTGACCACAAGTATTGTGGTTAATGCAGACATGATTCCTTGTAAGAGGTTTTCAGTTTGGTGTTTTAACATCTTGACACTTGTTTTGTTGCCAGAAAAAAAGGGGAAACCCTATTCTCATATTTTAGTACTGGCAAAGGAGGTCCCATGACAAAGACTTTTAAATTATAGTCAGGCACTGCATTATTGTGCTCTAGTGACATCACCTGTGACAGCACCTGTGACATCCCTAGTGACGTTGGCAATTCCATAACAAAAGTAAATAGAGAACCAAAGTACGCACACTCATATAGAGGGGCACCCATTTACAATGAGCGGCTGCTATGGCATGTGGCATAAATGGTGACGTGCTGACATCGAAGACATTGGCCTTGGTAACCTCTTTCATTTCAACAGCTCTCCGTTCACTCTTTGGCTTTTTTCGGTAAAGTCACGTGACTTTACCGAAAAAAAACAAAGAGTAATTCCTGCAGTCACGAAAGCACCTAATCAAGTTCAGCTCTCCGTTCACCTGAAGGAGAGCCATTGAATGGGAGGGCACACTGTTCATTTGGGAGGAATTTGCCTAACATGCTCACCTATAGAATTTCCACAAGTGCCATAATACATTGCTAGGACATAACTTTAAAGTATTTCCTTTTCATGAAAGAAACTTCGAGCTTATATCATACAGCAAAGAACACAGCCTAGATACGCATCTACAAGATGAGCTGTTTATTTTATAGTTACATCTTCCACAAAATAAAGCAGGAAGTACAAAACCTAAACTGAAGTGAAAATGAAAGTTTAGTATTGTATAGTATCGTTCATACCAACTGGATCTCAAAGACTGAAGAACCACAGGCAAGTGGCATGTCAGCTGTAAGCCTGGCTGACAGGCCCAAGGCCTGCAGTCATCTGTACATGAAGATGTATTTACCTCCAATTAGTACGGTTGGCTACGTATGGTGTGAAAGAAGTTCCACATACATGTGTTCAGCAAATTAGCGATCGTTAACACATGTGGGAATGTTGCACTCCTTAGCTGTTGCTCTGAAGAAGGGGAGGTCGATGATCAGTCGCCACGTTGATGGCATTTGTCGTGGTTTCTCACTTAACAGAGTGGGCCACGGGGAAGCTCCTATCGTTGCACTGCTGTGTGTCAGAGCTGCACCTCTGCATGCGCTGCCGCCGGCACAGGAAGGCGAAGATGCGGCGTAGGCCCACTGTGGCGGGGTCCCAATTGTTGTAGTGGCAGAGCGTTGCCGCTGCCGCGAATGCCAGGAAGATGGGTGTGCAGCCCAGGAAGAAGAGCCACGTGAACTGCACCTGCACGGACATGGGGTGGATCCCTCCGTCGGTGCACATCATTAAAGACTCGGCAGATGCACGTCTGCTTACCTGCGCATCCTTTCATATCACTGTGTTCATTAGGTATAATCTGATTTCGTATATATGCTCAAAAATACCATTTCCACATTTGTAAATAAATGCAAGGTAATCTCAAGAAACAAGTCATTAAACTTTCCTGTTTACTCAGTTAATATTCACTTTTCTAATGTAAAATATACAGTGAAAATAGATTCACATCAACTACAGAGATTAATTTCCATGTCAACCCCCTCAATGTGTAAGCTTCATTACAAAAATCAAACAGCTCTTGTCCCACATATATACCTTATGCACCTAGGCTGTGTTTCAGGCTCCCAAACACATTACAGCACCCTAGTGACATCAATGAAAATTCACTCGCATACATATCACAAGTCTTATTCACCAAAGTTCCTGTACCTGACACCATCACAATCATTGAAGACTTGGTTCATCAAGGACTAAACACTGAGGTACCCCCCTTGGTGAGACCAATACATACTTCACTTGGAATGAAACTTTCTACAAACAAACTGAGGGCACCCCAAAGGGCTCCCCCCTATCTCTGGTTGTAGCCAACATTTTCATGGAGAAATTTGAGACTGAACGCCATCCAGACTGCCACTCTGCGCCCAACCTTATGGAAGAGGTACGTGGATGACACTTTTGTCATCTGGCCACATGGCCGGCCTGCTCTAGACCAATTCCTCGACCATATCAATTCCATACACCCAGCCATCAGATTTACCATGGAAGTCAAAAAAGATGGCAAGCTACCTTTGTTGAGTGTCCTAATAAAAAAGAGACCTGATGGTTCAATGAGCCATTCTGTCTACAGGAAAGCTACCCATAAAGATGCTCATCTGAAACCGGATTCCCACCACCATCCATCTCAGAAGAATTCCCTCATCAAGACTCTGCACCATAGAGCCCAATGCATATCCGACCAGGAACACATAACCAGTGAACTCAAGCACGTACACCAAGCTCTTAAGGCTAATGGTTACTCCGACTACACAATCCGCAAAGCTATTACTCCTACCATGAAGAAGGACCCTCTTGAGGAGCCTTTCAAAACCATCACTTTACCGTACATTGCGGGGATCACAAAAAATATCTCCAAAATCTTGAACAAACACAAGATCCAGGTCCGATTCAACACATTACATAAAATCCGTGATCTGGTTCCGTCTGTAAAAGATCTGATTCCGGACATACAGTACCCTGGCGTCTACAAACTAAGTTGCCTCTGTGGTAGTAGTTACATTGGAGAAACCAAACGACATGTCTCAGACCGCATTCGTGAACACAAAGCAGACCTAAAAGACGGTAGGACCAACACCTCGGCCGTGGCAGATCACTGTTATAATTCAGTAGGCTCACATGACATTGACTTCTCCAAGACAGAGGTTCTTTGCAAGCCATCTGGCTACCATGAGAGATTCGTTCATGAGGCTATCCACATATACATACACAGACAATTTCAACCGAGAAGATGGATTCTGGCTTAGCAATCATCGGAAGGATTTGATCAACCATTTTGGGTCTTAATTGATTGTTTACGCTTACAGTGTCTTTCAGACCGCATCCATTATTTGTCTCCCCCCTCCTCTTTTCCGAACATAGATGACTCGTCCATCTGAATAACTGCCAAATCCCTCTCTGTGGTGCTGTTTAAAAAAAACGCCACTTTTTTCAAATTTTCTTGCTGTGGTTTTCACACCTGATGATGATTTCTTGTGTTGCAGTCAAAACGTCGTGAGAATTTTATTGTTTTATATTTTTATTATTTTATTGTTTCCCTTCTACGTGACTTTACCCAAAGAACCAAGAATAAGTCTACGTAGTTACGTCACTGGAGGGCGCAATGATGCCTGTTTAACAGCAACTAGTCTTTATACTCATGAACGAATCCTTAAACTCGTGGCAGACACCGTAGGATTTACAGCCTACGTACACACCTACAAGATAAACTCTCTTCTCTTGCATCTCCTTTTAAGGTTCTAACCGCTTCCACCCACCCCAGTGAAACCCACGGCTCACCTTCCTGAAGAAAATATCGGCTAAGACAGCCAAGGGTACAGTTAGGCTGAGCGCCAGAGTTCCCATGAGCGATGACGTCAAGAAGCAGCCCCTGAATGGTGCGAGCACACACGCAACATGTATGGAGGAATGAACGGTCGCACAGACTTACACGTGCAAACAAGCAAACAAGCTCCGTCTAACTTGTTTTAGAGGTGAAACGAGGTATTATTATGCCAGATCCCCTGTATACCTGTATTAGCCACTGTCGAGCGATGGACTTTTAAATCGAAACTGAAAACTAATTTCTTGAAAACTGCTTTTCGTGTTTAGTTTGTTGTCCCTCCCCCTGCACCTCCAATTAACACGGATGCCTATGTATGGTGGTGTGAAATAAGGTCAACATACATATAGACGTTTTCTAAAGAAAGGAAAAGGTCAAGTAATACATAACTATGACATTAATGCTTCCATTAATAAAACAGTAACAATGTACGTAATCATTTTTTTAAGTTTACCTAATTAGGCAAAACCAGATCCATTTAATGAACGTCACACATGCACCATTGCACTCTGTGTCCTGCTGTGCATTAATGCACCACGGTGTGTGTGCGATGTTTATACTGACCAGAGCCAGAGAGCCTCAGTGATGGCAGTGCCCAAAATGCCGTTGAGCAGCAGGCAGAGCCAGACTGTGCGGCTAGGAAGCTCGAATGGCTCCAGCCCCGTATAATGCAGCAGGAAGAACGCCGGCCAAAAGAACAGCATGCAGAACAATCCCAAAAAGCCTGCACATTCACAAACACGCACAGACACAACGAAGCAGTGTTGCTAATTTACATCTCCAAGTCAGCACAACGAAAACATTGGCAAATTTACGTTTTCCACTGCCAGTCCACTCGGCCTTATTTTGGGGGTGAATCAATAATGGTACAATCGCTTGTTGTGGGGTAAAGTCTCAGTATCATTAGCATTTCTAATCTGCAAGGTCAAACAGCCTGTCCTGCCTCTTGTGGCTTAACCCATGTCCAGTGCTTATCACTACCACTGACGTTTTATTACTTCATGTGTATGAGGCAACTGTATTTCTACACACAACTATAACCAACCTCCGTTCACCACTAAGTGATAGTGACGTAACTACGGCGCTTGTGCCATGCTAGGTGCACTTTGAGGCCACGTGAAGTGTCGAAGGCCCGCTGGCAGGAGGGTCAGGGAACAGACCCAGGTGCCATGGGTTGACTTGAGATGATTGGCAGATGCACTAAAAATGTTGGCTAGCAGCTTTGCTGTGATTGCAGTGGAGTAGAGATTAAGAGTCAAGCATATTTTAATAAAGGCACACTACTGCTCAACACAAAGATCCCCCATATAGTCTTAAGAGACTATTGGGGAAAGTGTTGTTAGCGAGCACCTATGAAGGCTGGCACAGCACACGAGGAGGTGGGTGGCCAGCACCACACCCAGCCACCTTTGTCTTCCTAATGCCGATGCTTACACACCGCACCAGGTACACACGTAGTCTTTTGCGACCAATATTATCCATAACAGGTTTTTTTTTGTTAGATCGTGTAAATATATAGATGTGTCGTTAAACCCGCCACCGCCCGACACACCTAATTAGTAAAGTTTGTCATGTATACAGAACATGTCAAGTCGTTACTATATACAGCACACCAGTGTGTTTGAGAGCAAAGCCACAACATTTACAATCTGAATACGACGTTTCGCCAGTACAGTGAAACTTAGGATTGCGAGTAACTTGGTCTGCGAGTGTTTTGCAAGACGAGCAAAAATTTAAATAAATAATAATTTGATAAACGAGCGATGTCTTGCAATACGAGCAGTACGTACAGTATACGCTTTGTCTGCCAAGCGTCACGTGATCATAACTGAGCCAATGGTTCTTCTCTCTCTCGCTGCGGGATTGTGGGTAATCATCTCCCATGCTCGGTCTCAGCCGGCGTGCCTCACTCGTATAGTCAACATCCGTGCGAGCGTATACCATTTACTATAATATAGTGTTGTGACCACGTGTATACTGTTTACTACAGTACTATAGTGTAGTGACCACGTGTATACTGTTTACTACAGTACTATAGTGTTGTGACCACGTGTATACTGTTTACTACAGTACTATAGTGTTGTGACCACGTGTATACTGTTTACTACAGTACTATAGTGTTGTGACCACGTGTATGCTGTTTACTACAGTACTATAGTGTTGTGACCATGTGTCCTGTTTACTACAGTACTATAGTGTAGTGACCACGTGTATACTGTTTACTACAGTACTATAGTGTTGTGACCACGTGTATACTTTTTACTACAGTACTATAGTGTTGTGACCACGTGTATACTGTTTACTATAGTGTTGTGACCACGTGTATACTGTTTACTACAGTATAGTGTTGTAACCACGTGTGTGTGCGTAAATTATTTTTTTAAATTTTGTGTCCAAGTGTAGTGACTGTTCTTTAGTAACTGTACTGCAAGTGAAAGTCGTCCTACACAATCACCCTCCTCCTCCTCTTTCTCGTCTCCCTCACACCAGCCACGATTAAATGCAATTAATAAATTTGATTACTTTTTATAAAATTTAAATAAAAATATAAAAAGGTATTTTGCATTAATCATTTTTATATGAATACAGTATTTTTGGGTTGTGGAACAAATAATCTGAGTTTCCATTATTTCTTATGGGGAAATTCGCTTTGATATACGAGCGCTTTGGATTACGAGCACGTTTCCGGAACGAATTATGCTCGCAATCCAAGGTTTCACTGTAATTACAACTAGCTTCATCTCATATACATGCAGCATCATCCATTGTTTTTTCTGTCACAGCGCGACCAGTAGCAGGTCGGGTACATAACTTACCAAGGAACATGGGCAGGTCCACCTTGTCCTCCCTCTCTACCCGCCTCTTGAGAATCACCACGTACACTGCGTAGAGTGCCGCGCCCGCCAAAGAGCACACGAAGCCTGCACAGAGCCAAACGGTACAGGAAAACGAGTACACGTGCTTGCCTGCATACGTGCACATGCGTGAACACACATCCTTCAATAAGTTCGCCTCCTGTTATATAATACCTACTATAATCACCCAGGAATGTCTGTCCTTAATGCTCGTGACGTCACTCCACATCGACCAGCCCACCTCATTAATATTCATGAGCAGGTGACGTCCTCCAAATGGATATGCCCCCCATTATTATTACCTACTATAATGAGCCAAGAATGTCTGTGTGCAACGCTCGTGACGTCACTCCACGTCGACCAGCCCCCCTCATTAATAATCATGAACAGATGACGTCCTCCAAATGGACACCCCCCCTCCCCCCCATTCATTATAATTAGCGGGTGACGTCACTCCACATGGGGGGGCGAGGCGCCTCCTCCCCCCTCCTCGGCGTCAACTGACAACCCTCACTACAAAGGCAGAACCCTCGCGTCACGTGATCTCCGTAACGCTGTTGAGACATCAAAGTAAAAAGGACGTCGTGATGAACAAGGGATTATAACCTTAAAATTAAATAGGTCGGTGTCACCGCGCCCTTACAAACTGCACGCGCATTCACGCAATGAATATCACGTCGCGGTCTGCTTTTCGCTTGCAAGTTTCAGATTTACTGCAATACACCCGTCCTTGGACGGGAAAAAGGCGAGTTGTAGATGTTTTCACAATTATTAATTACCTACGGAATGTGCCACTAAGTTTAAACAATTGTAACTGATACAGTGACACTCAGATTTTTATATAGACTTAAGATAGAAAATTGTATGTATTAAAATAAACAATGGTGTTCCATGTCAAAGCTTGTTATGTATGGTTTTGCTTGTACTCATAGGGCTCGCTGAAATATGCACGTTAAATACAGCACTACACATATATGTGGGTGTGTAGCAAATTCATGCTTGATGTTTTACAATAGTGCATGCAGATGTGTGTGTGTGTGTGTTTAGGTGTTTAACTGCGCAGGTGTTCATGCATCTAGGCGCACAGTGCCGCTAACAGCATTTGTTCAAACAGTCTGTTAAAGGCTCCACTGGGAACTTCGTATGTGTTGTGTCTGTGTGGGTTGTGTGCATTTCTCACCAAGCTCTTGTTTGTCTCCTGGCTGTGTGCTGAGAGACACCCTCACCAGCACCTCGCCACCAATACTGCTCACACAAAAACACCCCCCGCAGTTGGTTTGATCCCCTTGTTGGTCTGGTTAATACTTTTGGAGGCACTCCTGGGAGTATGAACACAACATAAGTATGCATGTGCAAGACAATACCTGAGGCCAACAGCCAACAGTTTTGAGAGAGTGAAGCGATCTCCGCTGTTACTGGGGAACACACCAGCCAGCACCAGCGTGAACAGACCTAAACACATGCAGGCAACAATTACACATCGATAAGAAAAAACCTCGGCTCGGCACATGCACCAAAACTCCCCATTTCCACAAGCACACCCACAGACAAGCCATGCAAACATTCCTGGGTGGCTTCAAAGTAGGCAGGCCCAATACATCTCATGAACCAGGTCGATGTGTTAATATCATAGCTCCATATTAATAGCATATGCATGTTTTAAAAGGTATCTTTGTTGCATTTTAAGCCCAATATGAGATATGAAAACAATTAATACTACTGCCTTAAGGAGGAAAGGTATATAATAGACGACATTTCAGGCAATGTAAAATGGCCATTGTTCAAAAAGTCTTATTGTGTTGATGAACGTGTTGGGTTTTTCAGTGCTCCTCCACTGCTGGCTTTGCAGTATCACCAGAATAACTTGTTTAATAAACGTCCTTCACATACAATGCCATTGTATCTCTTTTAACAAGACACCTTAACATTTAGCACATGAGATCCATTGTGACCTGTTGATGGAGCTCTGCTAATTGGCGCACTGCTTATTCAGATGCTCTTTTAAAAAATGTGGATATGCGAGTGAAGCATTTACCAGATGTAGAGGTGAGAATGTTCACAATGGCGACCTGGGTTTTTACCAGTGCTGTTTGAAAGGACAAATTGGCCATGAACCACTGCAAAAAAAAGAGCAAACACAGACACACTCAGAAAGCTACAACCTGTCGGAACACAGCTTTATTCATTTTGTTATCCACCGCCATGTTTTATAAAGCCGAGCAACTGATGCTGGGAAAATATAAACTTGCATTGACAATTAACTGGGAAAATATAAACTTGCATTGACAATTAACTGTTTTGTTAATTACACAAAGATCAGCAAGAATGTTTCAATGATAGGCGGTTCAGTCACGTTTTATACACACCTATGTACTATACTCCCCACCTTCACCAGCGCACACTGGGCAGCGTGGTGAAGCATGGTAAAATAACCCCCACGATGTGCACAACTTGAGGAGGTTCTCAACCAGCAGTGGATGGCAAAGAGCTGCTCATGTACGTTTATCAAATCATAATAGATGTACAGTAAAACCTTGGATTGCGAGTAACTTGGTCTGCGAGTGTTTTGCAAGACGAGCAAAATTTTTAAATAAATATTAATTTGGTAAACGAGCGAGGTCTTGCAATACGAGTAGCACGTATACGCTTTGTCTGCCGAGCATCACGTGATCACAACTGATATACGAGTGCTTTGGATTACAAACACGTTTCCGGAACGAATTATGCTCGCAATCCAAGGTTTTATTAGATTAAGCGGCCTTATTTATCCTGCTGCTTTACAGAAAGAGATGCTACTTGGTGTAATGGTGAGCGCTATGAACTTCCAATTAAGAGGTTGCCAGTTCTAACAGCGTGGCATTTTAAGTTTATTAAATCCCCCTCCCCCCCCCATCTCAGTCCACAAAGCTGTACAAACATCGGTATGCAACATTTAGTTGATCAACTAAATGTCAGCGTTAAAGAGTGGATGAAAACTGCCTCTGTTAAGGGCTCTCTGGAGCTTCCTCCAGTGGAGGGGACCTTCTGTGACCCACCACAAAGCACAACAGCAGGCTGATCTTGGCGACCTGGCCCACAGGAAGCTTGCCCGCGGCCCGGATGGCCGCCTCGTGGTCTCTCCCGGCCCAGTAGGACATGCGTGACAGCTTGGCAGCCAGCGCATCCCTCGACGGCAGCTGCCGCACCTCCGTCAGCTTGCTGAAGCGCACGCGTGGCCTCTTGGCGTCGCCTGATTGCAGAAGTCAGATTTAATGCTAGTGCTTAAGGTGGCCATCTTAGTCACAGTTAAGGTACAGAGTGAAAGGTAAGGTATAGGGTGTAAGGTAAAGATGCACCCTTGCAATAGTTTGCTCACGTCACTGCTGGTGGAAACGCCTCCACTAGAGGGCGTTCAAAAGAGCTCCTCTAGAGAGTATTTCGCCTGCTCTTCCATGCCGGCAAGATATTTTGGAAGAGGTAGGAGTACCCACACTCTCTACCCCACTACACACGACCTACCCATTTATACAGCTGGGTGGACATAGACTGGTGGGGGGGGGGGAAATTTAATAAAATGCACCATTGTTAAAATGCTGTGCTGGGAGATAGAAACACACCAGCAACATCTCGATCAGAAAATAAGAATAGCTTTTACCCTTTCTGGCAATAAAACAGGTGTACAGATATTCAAACACCAAATAGATACATTTTGCAAGTAATCAAGTCTGCATTAACCACACGTACTTGTGGTGAACATGCAAACAAAACAATCACTTATATTTGCATTGTCTTTGACCTCTGGATCGCAAATCTATTGTGCTAACGCTGACAGCATGGTAGCACCCTTGATTAAAGATATACAAGCAAAATATCAAGATTAAGATTTTGGTAGAGTATAAATGTCATGTTCAGGTCAAAGTGGCGTTAAGGTCAATTGTATTGTTAAGTGAGGGTTAGGGTTATGGTCTGGTAGAGTATACACGTTGTGATTATAGTTAGGTAGAGTGATCATGTTACTGTCAAGTGTGTTTTGAGGATATGGTTGCTCTTATAGTTGGGAACAGAAATAGAGTCACAGTTAAAGTTAAGCAGTGTCAGTATTAGGGTACGTGTTAAGTAGTCATGAGGTTATGGTTATGTTGGTACCGTATAGACATACAGGAAGGAAGTTACAGTGAAATAAAGTTTCAGCAATCGGGGAGGGATTAAATATATTGCGATGATGTATTTAGAGTTAGGTATACGAGTAAGGTAGCGAAAACTTCCGTTAAAATTGGCTACACTTTATTTAGATGCATTAAAGGGAAATGTTAGGGTATGCATTGCATGTTTGCCCTCGCTCTTCATACCAGGATCTTCTGTATCATTGCCCTCAACGCTGTTGCTTTGTTCTCCACTGGAGTCATTAAAATTCACGGGCATGTACAGTGGTTCACCCTATGAGGGTCAACAGGGAGAGGAGAGATATAAGCAATAAACTAGATGTATGTCGCCTAGCAGGCACAAGCGACCACTGAACTATCCTCACACAGACACACGAGCATTCATACATGATTACAGAACACCCTTATTGAACTGGATAAGATGGAATTGCTGCAAAACAATCTTTTGAGCCAAAAAAAGTCATGGGTTAGTATGTCTAAATGCTTATGATAATGCATCTTCACACATACTGTACAAGGGATGACTTATTCTTTGTTTCAAGCTTATAAAGGGAATTATCCCCATTTTTAGCCCATTGACAGTGAGACCTTTTTCTTTTCTCGGCACCAATTATGGGCAGTACAGAACTACAGCGTGAAACATTTACAGATATGCCACTGATTTATAATGACCCTCTTCCTGTCTGCTCAAGCGGTGAATGAATATTGTGAAAGCGATGGCTCCATATCTTACAGAGGAGAATGTTAAACTAATGAATCAATATACAACATTGAGGCTTTGAATTAAAATGTAGTTCTCTATAATTTCTCTCAGAGGGATGTGCTGCCAATACCCTAATTAATCCAAATATCAGGACGTAGATACAAAACAAAAAGGGACGTTACTGATATGGCATCAGGTGACCTTACTATTGTTCGCAAGACGTTTTGCACGAGTACATGACCTGAAATGATCCTTAAAAATCCAAAAGTAGTTTTTTAAACATCTGAAACTCATCCCTTCTCCAAATTATTTTTGTAGGGTGTCTATAAATGGATAACCCCCATTCGTGCTCCATAATTTCTCGGAAAAACAAAGATGCCCCTGTTAGCCTTACACATGCTGTTGGGACAAGTGCAATTAAAGCGCACGCTTGCACACGTACCAACAAGGAATTGGCGCTGGCTTCACTGCGGCTTTTGGTGCTAATGCAACCAACATCCGTCTCAATAAACTAAAAAAGAAAACAACAAAGACAAATTAGCAGCAGGAGTAACAGTGCACATGAGTAAAGTTCTTTAAATTTTGTGTCAACAGCCACTACAAATCAAAACATGCATAAGGAGAGTATTTATGAAGTTACCAGCCATCAATACCCACCAGACCGAAAAGGTCTTTGACACATGGTAAAACTTTGGAACAAAGTGGTGAAAGTGAATATAGAAACATGCCCAATGTATGGGTCTGCCATTGAAAGAGGCAATAACAAAAAAATACAAATAAATGGGCCGCACTGTTCATGTCGGAAAATTACCGGAACGCTGTGCGCCAAGCAGACCCCCTGCATGCACTTCTCGCGCCACGGCTTCCAGAGCAGGAACCCAAGTAGGTAGACCACAAACATGGAAGTCTTGGCAAATGTACTGAAAAAGGGCTTCTCAAATGTGCGGAAAGCATACTGCGGATCCGCAAACACAGACACACATTTGTTAGTGGTACTTCAATGACAACACAACACAATTCTGAAATAGCAATTCTCACACCAATAAACTGTAGTGTACAGATCCCTTTGGCAATCCACTGCTGGAAGAGGGCCCCTCTACACCGCGAAGGTTATGGTGGCACAGGTAAGTGCCAAGGGCAACAAACAATGAAGCAAAGAAGTACGGGACAACAAGTGGACTATCGCTGTCTTTTGTCCGCTGTCTTTTGTCCACCACGTAGCCCTGCAGTTTACAACACCTATTATTCATGGTAGTCACACAACCAAGCGTTATCCAGGTTCAAAACTGCTTGGATTCTGAGATCTAACAAAGTCAGGTGCATCCCGGGTGATTTGGTCATGGGCAATCTAGCTATAACACATGGACTAGCTAAAACACATTCGCTGCTTGTTGCAGAGGCTCACTGTTTTAATCCAGCGTCCACCCCGATTAATATTTCGGGCGTGGTAACCATAAAAATAAAGGTAATCTGCTTCACACTTACGTTAAAAATCCCACACCATCATTCACAAGCGTAAGTGCCATTGCCTGCCGGCGTCATGGTCCAAACTTGCCAAATTTGAAAAATGATCCGCAAAATTTACGCAATTGGAATCTACATCGCAGCTATTGCCCCCTCATTTGAAAACTTGGTAGGACCCTCCTGCAAAAGTCATGACACTCAGTCAGACTTTCCACTGTAATAATAGAGAGCAAAAACAATGATTGGCATGCCAACTGCGACAAGTCGGCCCACTCTGGGGCACACTTCAGGTCGAGTGCCGCTCGCCGTCATTCCATCATCGCATCCGTACCCAGGTGAGCTCAGAGGAGGCGACCCAGATGATGTCGACGAGGAGGAGGATGAAGACCCCGAGCAGCATGCGGCGGCGTGGCGCGGTGAGTGCCGGGGGGGCGGCGGCGACAGGGGAGGCGCGCTGCATCACCGCCAGCCCCAGCAACGGTCGGCGCCGCCCAGCACGGCTGCCGCCAACACACGGAACAGCCATGTGGCCGGTACACTTGGCCAGTTGATGTGATTAAAGGGAAACAATGCAATTGATCGACGCATAAAATGATCAAACGGGATCGGTGGTTGGCGAGGCTGGCTCAGGGGAATTATGTCGTATGCTGAGCCAGCAAAGCTGAGAGGCCGAGTTCATTACAGAAGACCGAGTAAGCATTATTTGGTTCTTTCGGTAAAGTCACGTAGAAAGAAAGAAAATAAACAGAATAGAATACGACGTTTCGATTGCAACACAAGCAACCATCATCAGGTACAAATTAATGAGTTAAAACATAGTAAAAACATGGAAATATAATGCAATACAACACAGAGTCGGCCAACACAAGTCAACACCCCACCTGGTTGATTATGTTCCTCCAAAGATTGCTAAATTTGAGAGAGACAAAACATAGACACACAGGCAGACACAAGCAGAGAGAGACTCGCACAGAGACAAACGAGAGAGACACACACATAGGCCTACCGAAAGAACCAAGGAATAATTCCTGCAGTCACGAAAACTTCGAACCAGGTAAGCAGTTTGTTATGCCCTATAATGCTACAATGTTAATAATGCTAATACATGGGTTTAATAAACTAATTCCCGTGCACTGCTTAACATTTGTTGATTAAAAAAAAACTTGGTGCGCACAACGCTGGCACTAAACAAGCAATCTCTTACCTGCACGCAACACTCAGCTTGTGAGTGTGAGAGGCCGTGCCGATGGCTCTCGGGATGTCTTGAAAATTACATTTCGGCACTTTGTGGCCAACAAACTTATATGCAGAAAATGTCCCTAGAAACACAGGGAGATAAAAGGGATTGCAGATTTAGGACTAGACAGAGCACAGTTTGTAACGGAGTTTAAATTAGTTATGTAGCAAATTTCCCCCGTACTATTTTCACAACTTTAAAGATCCAGGATCCCGATTTTAAAACACTTTAGTTACTAAAGCACCACTGGTGGTTAAAAGGTTCATATGAATGCATACACAGTCATACCTCGGTATACGACCGCTTTGGAATACGTCGAATTTGGTGTACGTCGTATTTTGACGATATTTTTTTATTTATTGGGATACGTCTCGCTTGGGATACGACGCGCCGCCTGCTAGAACTTGGATGGGGGTCTGGATGAGTCACCGCGTCCCGCGTAGACCCCGTTCACGACGGAAACAAAGCGTCGCTCCGCAGTCTGCCTGTACATCTCGTTCAGTGCACAAACCCCTTGCTATATTTATATATATTCTTAGCTCTTTCGGTAAAGTCACGTTGAAGGGAAACAATAAAAGAATTATAAAATATATATTTTATTACTTTATTGTTTCCCTTCAACGTGCTTTTCTGCAGTCACGAAAGCTTTACATCAAAAAAACCCTTGCTATATTTTTATTTCAATTTATTTTAATTTATTTATGCATTTTTTTTCAATGTATGTATGCATTTTAGTAATAAGTAGTGTCTACATTATGTTATACAACCCTATTAATGTTTAATATGCCAAATAAAATATCATTTCTTATACTCTAGAACGGATTATTTCCTTTCACTTTATTTCTTATGGGAAAAATTCGTTTGGTAGACGTCATTTCCGGTGTAAGTCCTCCTACCTTCTGGAACGAATTAGCGACGTATACCGAGGTACCACTGTACAACATACACGAATCGAACATACTAGATTTTTAAAGATGATGAGTTGCATGGATTGTTTAATAATTCAATCAAAGCATCATAACAGGTCAAATGTAAACCATTTGGAATAAAAAACACAGAACTTACAAACAGGTACCTCGAAAAAAATGTCTCACCCATGAATCAAAACAGAGTTAGCTTGCAGGCTTATTCCTTGACATTTACCTGAGAAAATACTTAATGAAATACAATTCAGTGCATAGTGACAGGCGGCGTCAATATGACAGGCTACAGTGTAAGGGACTACCACCCATGCGCCTCTGCACAAAGGATTGTTGTAGAGTATAATGATTTTGATTTAAAGCTTTCGTCACTGCAGGGATTCATATTCTTGGTTCTTTCGGTAAGGTCGCGTAGAAGGGAAACAATAAAATAATAAAAATATGCAACATTAAAATTCTCACGACGTTTCGACTGCTGCAACACAAGCAATCATCATCAGGTGTGAAAACCACACCTGATGATGAGGTGTGTTGCAGTCGAAACGTCGTGAGAATGTTAATGTTTAACAGTTTTATTATTGTATTGTTTCCCTTCTACGTGACTTTACCGAAAGAACCAAGAATATGCGCATAATGATGTCGTAGAGTTTTAAGGATACATATGAAAACATATGCATCCTTAAAACACAGAATCACAGATATCCACACCTCCAATTGGCTACGTATGGTGCGAAAGAAGTTCAACAAACATACATCCATATCTGCTTCCTAAGTGGCAAGCATGCTTACAACATCACGCAAGGTCGGCTAAAACTGCCAATCTAACACAGCAGACTTGATTGTTTGCTTCCAACAAGTGTACAAAGGTAGGACACACCCTGCTGACGATTGAAACTTATCAGAGTGGGAAGAAATTAAATAGCTGATGTGACTCATGGGTAACACGCCCAAGTGAAAAAGCAAGAAAATCGTGCTCTAATTAAGAACTGTACATCCACGTGGAAGTAAATACAACGCATGAAACGTATTAAATAAAAGCATCACTACACATACAAAATGAAATATATCTTTTATAAACATTTAAGAATACGCATTAAGAAACAGTTTCTTGGCTTAAAAGAACATATACAGTACAACATATATTTTTGCAATTGTGATTAATGAGCTTCACAAACTATACAAACCACATATTTCACTGGTGATGCATGATGACCCCTTGGGTTGACATTGTTGTCTGCTAAATGGATTATTTTAAAAACGGCAATGTCTCTTCCAATCCTCATGTGGAAAATGTAGCTGCTTGAATAATGAATAAACATCCATGAGAGCTATATTGGGGCTGCTATACAGTCCAGTAATTTTCAAGCTTGTCCCAGATAGGACAAACATCGCAAAGCTCTTCACTACGAATTATTCGTCATTTATTTTGCAATTAAACAGTGCAGCTCGCACGTATTTTACATAAAAGGCACGGCTATGCAAAAAATACACGTCCTCCATTGTCTTCATCCTGTAAGACCTGTTCTACTTACGCATGTATAAAGTACACGGCAATCTACACACTGCTTCAATGGATTAAGTTGCGTTTGCAAGCACATATCAATGTCAATTCAAACCAGAAAATGAATGGGGTAGTCGAATCGGCACTACGCATCAACACTGGTGTCTCCAGTGTTGATGTTGATCACGCTATTTTAGGCCGAGTCGACCTAGGCGAGGCACAACCCAAAAGCCTACACGTCACTGCTCATGTATGCCTGAATATAGCTTAGTTTACAAAGTATATTCCCCCACAATACCGAGGTTCAGAGTTCACATCCCAACTAAGGTCACGCTTAGTTACATAATCACCTTCAACACCAGTTAAGAGACCAGTAAAATGAGCACCAGGTTTTATTTAGTTAATCGCGATTGTTATGTTCGACTCTGGAACGAGATTCCAATCATAAGAATAAATAATTTCTACCGCATTGAGCAACTGTGCGGAAACGGAAAGTCCCTGACATGCAAACATGTAAGTATCCAGTATGAAGTGGTAAGTCAAGACGTTCTGAGTTCAAAAAAGACATTCACAGGAGGCGACCTGCGCTTGGCTTTCTTCACTCCAACGCTGTCCTCTGGACAGTTGGGTCCCTTCACCAGATGAAGGCCACTTGTGTTGTGGCCCAAAACGTCGTGATTTTTTGTTGTTTTATTTTTTACCTACGTGACTTTACCGAATAGAACCAGAGTATTCACAGTAATGTCAATGCACAGTCCTTATGGCAATCCCCTACGGAATGGGGGCCCCTCCCCACGTGCTGCGAGTCGTGCGATTGTATCACAAATTCTTCACGCTGTTTATTCACAGTTCATGAAGGTGGGGAGCATAGACGTGAGAGCATACAAGTACAGTACAACAATATATATTTTGTTCTGAACCGACCTCTTCGGTCCGCAATGTAAAACAGCCCCTGAAGCATCCCATGACAACTTGGGTCCGATGCTGGGTTAATAACCTTCCAAGCCACCATAAAGGCTCAGTCCTGCTTTGCTTCTGAGATCTGTCAAGATTGGATGTGTACCGGGTGATCTGGTTACGATATGAAGGTGAAATTTGTACCACTTGGGGAGATAACATTCGCCATCTACGAACGACAAACTATTTCGCCGTTTGGCTAGAAAACAACTGCTTAAGTCGCGTAGATAGAAAAAAAAAATATCCACGTGACTTTACCGAAAGAACCAGAGAGTATGAATTCCTGCAGTCACGAAATCTTCAAATCAAGACCGAACTGCTTACTATGTTTAATTAATGCTAAACCGATCATATTTCATTCAACACATTAACAACACGCGTTAGGCACGTCGGCATTGTAATTGGTGTTCTCTCTACATCATGATAAGGGATTGAACCTAGGTCACAGCGCCGATATTGGCACCCATAAACTGTACAGTACTCTTACACCTAATTGTTGGTACAACACAAAGCTCAAAATAAAACATGCCACCCCCCCCCCCATTGGCTTACATATTGTTACAACAGACGCTGTTAGTGAGCACCTATTAGGAATGGCCACGCGACATAGAGTGGACGGGGCCAATGCGACCAACAACCACGCCCGGCCGCTTTTGTCTCCCCAATGCTGACGGTCACGCAGCCCACCGGGTTAATTATTTGAGGGGTAAATCAACCGAGGGGATGGCCGGAACAGGTTCGGACACACGCACGACCTTAGCGTTCACGACGTAACAACAACGGACGCCAAGGGACACTGACAGTGGTGACGTCGGCGCTTGTGCCAGGCTGGGTGCATCTCGAGGCCCGGCGTGTTATTGTGGACTGTACCCGATGCGGGAAACGTCGCCTGTTATTTTTGTTTTCGTCCCTTTTAAGGCCACAGTGTTAGTGACGAATGTGTTGAGTTTATTTGTTTCTGTTTTACGAATTGATTTCAACCTAAAACGAATGGACGCGTGTATTGACGGTAGCGTGACATTTATCAGATGTTTTCTTGTTCATGTTTTTGTTTTGTTTGTTGCGGTTGCACCCGATTCAAGAGCCGAATGGCTCACAGGGCTATACCAAATAAATGAAAACTATGAAACTAAACTATGAAACGTATTCCCGATGGACGTTATTATACTGCGCGCACGCACGGCCCCCTTTTAGTCAATCCACTGCTGGACGAGGGCCGTTCCCGCGCCGTTTGACCATACTTCACCACGCTGGTGAGTGCTCTACATACGAGTGGAACACAACACTGGGTGTTGCTGCCGCCAATCACGTAAGCCAGTTAAAAAACAACAACAACAACAACAACCTGTTTTAGACTTCTCCCCAAGCGCTATTATCCGGGCCTCGGACCATACCTCGCTGCAAAGATCTGACACATTCCGGGTGACGTGATCACGGACAAATATTGGTGTTTGTTTTGTTTGTTTTAAAAACAACAGTATCGACTTATTGCATAACAGAACCGGTAAGAGAGATTGCGCGTCTGCTTGGGAGGTGCCTTCGTAAGGAGTGGATTGACCGTGACCGACGACGATGATGCATATGATGAATATATGATGGCCACATGAATAAACGAGGGCTCAATGCCACAGAGCTCGATACACAGGTGAACTTGTGACGATGTCCCCACCACGAAGTTTGAATCGTTAATGACGAGGAAGCGACCGATGATGTCGCTTCACTGACGCTGGAATTTATTTTTTCTTTTAAAAAGCGCGAGACAAACCACAATTAAAATCACTAGAGTGACACGAATTACTCACCTGGCGGCAACTTTAAAGTATTTTTTTGTTTTGTTTATTATTCCTCCATTATAATCACGATCAGCACTCGTATGCGACGGTCGGAGCCCCACACAACGTCTGAACGTTGTCTGCGGTGTGGTTTATTTTTTTACTTTATCGCTGCATCTTCGTTGAAACAACGAGTTTGTAGAATTTCACCCGCAGTTACATTTTTTTTGGTCACTGAACGGATTTCGTTTTCTCGCTGAATGTTTTTTTTCTTGCGGGGAAGGACGCAGCAAGACGGGAGTCCCTGCTACCGTAGGCTTTCACTCCCCCACCGCCCGCAGTGTGCATATGTTGACGTTGTCAGCAAGGTAATGCCACAAAAACCTACGTGTGGGTTTTAACGAAATCAACGTTTTTAACGTATTACAGCAGAACCAAGCGCAGTTAAACTTCGTAATTAGTACCTCGTGAGCTTCCTCCCTTCCTGTAGCGTCCGGCGGCGAGACAGAAACTGTGGCGGTGAAGAGGGAGTAAAAACCCCGAACTGTACAACATTACTCGACAATCCTCCAGCACCACCAGCACCACCCCCGTGAACACGTTTACAGTGTGCACAAAACCACAGTGGCCATCTTGCTAAGGGAGGAGACCACACCCCGAAACCCCACCCCCAAGGTAACCACCACACCCCCCTCATGGTTAACTCCCCCCCCATATTGACCCCCCCCACGGTAACCCCTCCCCCCACGGTTAACCACCGCCCCCCGGTAACTCCTCCCCCCGGTGACTCCTCCCCCCACGGTAAACCACCGCCCCCTGCTCCACCCCCCGCCCCTCGACGTGCTCACGCGCGCGACACGGCCGAGTCCAACCCGACGCGCGCGCTGCCCTCTTCCTGTACCAAGATGGCCGCCCACCGCTTCACCCCACCCCCGGTGACGTCACGCGCCGACGCGCTCTCTCCACCTCCCTCTCTCGCGTCTTCTGCTCCTCCTCCTCCTTGTTGTTGTTGTTGCCCCCCCACCAAACCTGACGGGCTTGGCTTTTGTAAATCGTAGCACGTACAAGCGAGCCGTGCTCGCTATTGGTTGATGGTGTCCTTGTTATATTCTTGGTTCTTTCGGTAAAGTCACCACGTAGAATGAGAATAAAAAAATAAATAACACAATAAAATTATCACGACGTTTCGACTGCAACACAAGCAATCATCATCAGGTGTGTTTAAAGTGATTTTTTTTTACCTTCGCTAATACTTTGTAATACGATTAAATCGGACGGGAAATAAAAGCAACGCTTAGCCAATCAAAGTAAGGGGACATAAGGGGGGGGGGGGGCGTGTCACTTCACCGTGACGTAACCATATCGATCCAACAATTAATCGTTGCCATTGATGACATGTTATTGATTCAGTGACCATCTCGATCCATCAATCGATGCCATTGATGAAATGTTATTGATTTCGTGATCATCTCGATCCAGCAATTAATTGTTGCCGTTGATGACAAGTTATTGATAAATCGTTGCTACTGATTACATGTAATTTATTTTGCTCAATGATTTGCCCGCGGAATTTTAGAGTCTTTAACTATGTCTGATTTTATCTTAAACTCTGTCCGTTTTTATATTAAAATGTATTCAGCAAGTACAGTGTTTAACAATGTTCGATTTCATCTAAGGGGCCGTCCATAAATGACGTCACGCACCTAAGGGGGGGGGGGTCAGACATTTGTGACGATGTGTGACGAGGGGGGGGGGGGGAGAAATGTGACGTCACATCAAAATGCGCAACTTTAAATATAGCCAAGTTCTACTTAATTAAATAGACTTTTTAATAAATGTTTTCTCCTACAACATCAGAGTGCAGTGCCACATTAATTACGCACTACAATGACAATAGTTTAAAGCGATTTGAAGCATGTTTTATTTTTTTGTGGGGAGGGGGGGCAGAGCTTTGTGACGTCATATTTGAGGGGGGGGGGTCTGACTTTTTGTGACGCCGTGTGACGAGAGGGGGGGGGGTCAAAAATCGTCCAAAATCGCGTGACGTCATTTATGGACGGCCCCTAAAACTGTGCCCGTTTTCATATTAAAGTTAACGCAGTAAGTACAGTCTTTAACTTCGATTTTATCTTAAATTTTTACCCAGTAAGTACTACTGTTGTGCTTAAATTTGAAATGTTTTATTTGTATGAGCACGTGCTTATAACGTCTGCACATTCGAGCCTATCTGTACGGCGCTGTATGTTTGTGCATCGTCGCTTTGCTTAAGAGTCGGACAAGAAAGACCTTGTATGGCGATTGTTGACCACGGCACGTTTATTTCCAGAGACGCTTCGAACCTTTGAATTAACCAACGACACCGCGCTGCGAGGAAAGTACAGGTACGTTTATTGTTTTGGTCTACACACACATCATTAAACTGCATATAGAAATGGGTTGGACACATGAGGACATTTAAAAAAAAAAAATTGCAGCAAAGCAGCATGCCCCTTCTGCTAGGTAGACAGCGAATATTTCATTAAAAAAAAACACGCAGAAACGTTTCAAGCCGTGGAAGAGAAGCTTTTTTTTTTCAAATGGCAGAAAAATGGATTCGTTTCTGTGTGAACGACGTCGAAAAACGAAGCTCTGCAGTGGTGTTATGGTTCTTCTGGCCATTGGGTGTGCTGACAAAAACGCAGATGGATCACGGGTAGGACATTTTATTGGAAAGGGATGACAGGATGCTCAGCAATGGGCTGAAAGCTTTGAGGAATGCCAGAGAGAGAGAGAGAGCGGTCTATCAAGGCAGTGCCCACACCGCTACAGCCAATACTCGGACATGCGTAAATGTGTATTTAAAACAGAGGAGATCCACAAATTACTTGACCCTGCCTATTGGTTGATGGACATCGAAATTGACAAGGTCATGGCTTTGCCGAAGATTTTCAATTCGACCATAGACGGATCTACAGACTTGCCCTCATTTCAAGGAGCGCCTACTCAAATGCGAAATCGGTGTATGCAAGGCAGAGTTTGTTCAGATTGTGGAATTTGCGTGGAAACCACTGGATTGTCCTTTCAAACATATACAGGCCTCAACGGACTAGTGTGTAAAGTGTATGACAGCCCTCGGATGGTTTGACGCAAAACACAACACGATAGCTGTCCAGCACATTTGCAAAATGCAACAATTCCTCCACTGAGCAAATTGTCAAATTTAAAGCCATTGTACAGCGGCAAGCAAATTTTTCAGACTGTGTCCTTTTTGCCGCCTTTGTGACTACTTTGGCGTGTGGTTGGACCCAACCAGCTTACCTTTTTGAAAAGGAGCGTATTCGGCAGCATTTACACCACTGCCTGTGGGAGAATGTCATGACACCATTTCCCAGAAGACTCGTCACACGAAACGTAAGGTCGTCTAGTTGGAAAGTGCCCATCTTTGTTGTTAAAAATTTCTCACTTATTGGGAACCTGCTGTCACCCATTTCGCATGTAGTGAACATCTACGTTTGTAGGTTCTAGCACACTACCATAGTTATTCGAATTTATTTAAAGTCGACATTACCATTTGTAGACCGTTACCGTCAATTCTGAAACTGGTCTTGCGTCACCAATCATTTACATCAATAGATGAATAATCGAATCACTTTGATCTGTAATTAGTACGTTTAAACTAATCCTATCACGGCTTCAGAGCATTTTCACACATGTTTAATGTTTGCAATTAATCTGCACGATATGTTTACATGCAGACATATATATAAAAAAAATACCATGTTATTGTTGTTATTACAAACTAGGTTGTTGGGGGCGCCATAAGCGCCATAGGGGCCCCCAAACAACATAGTATGTGGTTAATACTCTTTGTTTTTTTCGGTAAAGTCACGTAGGTAAAATAAAATAAATGAAAACAACTAAATTAAATCACGACGTTTCGGAGGCAACACAAGCTTCCGTCTTCAGGTGGAAACCGTCACAGCAAAATTGTTGTATCAAGTGAAGAGACCTCTAAGATACCCGAGATTATATACAGGTTAAGGGGGGGGGGGGGAGGAGCCAGGAAGGGCCGTGGGGGGGGGGCTAAGTTAAGCCGCCTTTTGTTATGCTGCAGGGGGTTAGGGGGGACGGAGAGGCGATGGCGAGCGCTGATCGAAAACGAGCGCAACCAACTGGAAGAAATGGAAATGGCTGCACAATTATAAGGCAGCTAAAGTTTGACTTGGTTGATGACATCTTTCCAATGATTGCTCAATTTAAAAACATCCTCTCGGTTGAAGTTGTGTCTATGTTTGTATATCTGGATGGCTTCATGGACACATCTTTGGTTGTATCCGGGAGGTTTGCAGAGTACTTTGGTATCGGAGAAAACAATATCATGAGATTTTTTATTTAAAGCTTTCGTGACTGCAGTGATTCATATTCTTGGTTCTTTCGGTAAAGTCACGTTGAAGGGAAACAATAAAATAATAAAATATTTATAAAACAATAAAATTCTCACGACGTTTCGACTGCAACACAGTCATCATCAGGTGTGAAAACCAACGGCAAGAAACATTTGAAAGAAGTGGCAGTTTGTATTTATTTTTAAACGTTAGCACCACGGATAGCGATTTGACAGTTTGTTTAGATGGACGAGTCCATCTATGTTCGGAAAAGAGGAGGGGGGATACGAAAAATTAATATATGCTGTCTGAAAGCCACCGTAAGCGTGAACAATCAATTAAGACCCGAAATGGTTGATCAAATCCTTCCAATGATTGCTTAGCCAGAATCCATCTTCTCGGTTGAAATTGTCTCTGTGTTTGTATATGTGGATAGCCTCATGAACGAATCTCTCATGGTAGCCAGATGGCTTGCAAAGAACCTCTGTCTTGGAGAAGTCAATGTCATGTAAGCCTACTGAATTATAACAGTGATCTGCCACAGCCGAGGTGTTGGTCCTACCGTGTTTAAGGTCTGCTTTGTGTTCACGAATGCGGTCCGAGACATGTCGTTTGGTTTCTCCAATGTAACTACTATCACAGAGGCAACTTAGTTTGTAGACACCAGGGTACTGTATGTCATGAGAACCCGTTGTGTTGAAACAATGATCAGCTACGGCCGAATAATTCGTTCTGCCGTGTTTCAAATCTGATTTATGCTCGCGAATTTGGTACAGCCATTTCCATTTCTTCCAGTTGGTTGCGCTCGTTTTCGATCACCGCTCGCCATCGCCTCTCCGTCCCCCCTAACCCCCTGCAGCATAACAAAAGGCGGCTTAACTTAGCTCCCCCCACGGCCCTTCCTGGCTCCTCCCCCCCCACCCCCTTAACCTTATATAATCTCGGGTATCTTAGAGCTCTCTTCACTTGATACAGCAATTTTGCTGTGACGGTTTCCACCTGAAGACGGAAGCTTGTGTTGCCTCCGAAACGTCGTGATTTAATTTAGTTGTTTTCATTTATTTTATTTTACCTACGTGACTTTACCGAAAAAAAACAAAGAGTATGAATCCTTGCAGTCACGAAAGCTTCAAATCGAGAAATAGTATGTGGTTGTTCGGGGGCGCCCCCCCAACAACCACAGCCTGCGGCGGCCCCCAACAGACTAGTCGAGTAAATTCTTGCGATCCACTCGCACAGCATGCAGTGGGCCTTCATCCAGCAGTGTATTTAAGCACCAAAAAAACTACAGTACTAATGTAATTAGAACCGTGTGTGTATGTCCGTACGTACGTAATAGATGTGTGTGTAGTGCACGTGTGTGGTTTACCGTCAAAAGCATTATTGAAAAGTATTATTGTAGAGTACTGTAAAAAGAACGCGAACGGCTTTGCTGTGTATTCTTGGTTCTTACGGTAAAGTCACGTAGAAGGGAAACAATACAATAATAAAAATATAAAACAATAAAATTCTCACGACGTTTCGACTGCAACACAAGCAATCATCATCAGGTGTGAAAACCACAGCTTTGCTGTACTTGAGGACTTTCAATAAGTCGAATAACAGCGGCTTTACGTGGCTTTCACTTAAAGTTTTCACTCTACATACCTTTTTTGACGATCCCGCGATGTAATTTTAATGTGAATGAATGAAAATGTATTTAAACTTTAGTTGTGATATTTTCATTCACCTATAGGAGCTATGACTTATTAATCACTGAAAGAACTGTTAGGATTATTTGGAAGATCTTATTTAGAGGGGTCTTAGGAAGTGGTGGGGGAGGTCTCCGTCCCCCTCAGCCCCCACCCCTGGGGGCTCTGGGGTGTCAACCTCCGGTTACGGGGGGGGGGGGGGGGGGTGGAAGGCTCTTATCTTAAGGGGTCTTATGGAGGGGGGGGGTTTCATCAGCCCCCACCCCTGTCGGCCCGTGAGCGTGCCGGCAGATCTGCTGCCCACAGCGCCTTATTACGGCGCAACATCACCTGGGGGGCGTACATGTTTTTTAGGGGCTCGCCTCTGATTGGCTGCTCACTCGCGGTCACGTGACACACTTCAACCAATCCGTGCCGCGTTAATCACAATGACAGAATGACAGACCTTGGTGTTTATTTATAATTTGTTGTCATAAAAGGTTTACGATAAGCGCTAAATGTAAAAATGTACTAAAATGTTTTTTTATAGAAATTGTTCGATATTTGTAATCCAGTTGCGAAGAGCAGAAATGCACTGTGACTTGGCCGATTGAGAATTAGCGATGATGCCCATTAGCATTAGTGATGCGTGGGGAAGGTGCTTGAAAAACAATATTTGGACTTGTGTTATTTCTAGGTAAAATTTAATATTGCTTTACACAATATATCATCAAAGCATTACCATCTCATGGCAGGTAAAATTTGCGATGAGAAAGTATAGTTCACAATTCAGAACCAACAGCCGCAGCAGCAGAACCAACAACTGCATGCGGCAGCAGCAGGACCAACAGCTTGCAACAGCAGTACCTACAGCTGCACGAGCAGCACCGACATCGGCAGCAAGTGGCAGCAGTGAACTGGACATTGGAGCCAGCTGTAAGTATAGCAAACCTACAGTTAATGTTTAATCTTGATTTGAAGCTTTCGTGACTGCAGGAATCCATACTCTTTGGTTATAGTTAATGTTTTCTTAATCTTTAATGCAGGTTTTTTTTGGGTTAGATCGCGTAAAAATATAAATGTGTCGTTAAACCCGCCACTACCCGACACAGCTAACTAGTAAGGTTTGTCATGTAAACAGAACATACTCTTTGGTTCTATTGAGTAAAGTCACGTAGATGAAAATAAAATAACAAAAAATAAAATAACAAAAAATCACGACGTTTCGGCCACAACACAAGCGGCCTTCATCAGGTGAAGGGACGAGACTGTCTGGAGGACAGCGCTGTCCTCACTGACAGTCTCGTCCCTTCACCTGATGAAGGCCGCTTGTGTTGTGGCCGAAAC